TATTAATGTGGGAGCTTTGTGTTGTTGCAGTATCTGGTGGACTTTGCAAACTATTAACCTTTCCTATACTTTAGGTATCTTGTGACCATTTACCACTCTTCTATTTATAGAATATTTATTGCTTGTTGTAGCTGCATTAACGGAAAGGAAGACAGTTTATTTTTTGTTTTGTTTTTGTATCAGATAGGTGAGCTAACAATAACACTGAAAAGAAGGCCCATCTTATCAAGTAGTTTTGACCATTATTGGGACTCTAAACTGCACTTTGCAGGACCATCTAGATTGGTTTTGTGTGAGCTTCGCAGTTTTGGAGATATCTGCTGAAAAGTTCTCTGCCTTGTCTTGATAAACTGACTTCATATTTGCCTCGTTGTGCTCAGAAATAACTCAGCTGTAATTGTCTCTTTCTAGAAATCACGCCCCTGCAAAACGTTTCACACAGGAACTATTTTCTTTCTGCTATTTTCTACATCTGGTGCTCGTTAACAGAGCTCAGCTGAGGGGTGAAGAGGTCGGTGTTTATACAGTATCACAAATGCACGCTTCCCATCATGGGTGTAGCTTGTAGCTGAAAGAAAGTAGTTCTTACTGTCCTGTAAAACTGGCCACGGCCGTTATTACTGACTAAAACAAGAAAAAAAGAACATTTATTTAACGTCATTTAAGCAATATTTAGTGATTGCAAAACTAAAAAGTCTCTCATTTTAGTCTTTAACAGTGAAATTTGTCACAGGTGTTTCAGTCTTTGGTGTTGACGTGTGTGAGTCAACAAAACTAACAAAAACCAAACTGAAAGCAGATCATCTCTGAAATCTAACTGAAACTGAAATGAAGTGAATTTAAAACTACAATTTCTCTATTTATTTGATTATGATTTGTAGAAAGAGACAGTGCTGCTCAGTTTTCAAAGTATATTTTTTGTGTAATTCAAGCACAAAGCGGCGAATGCCAGTTGGTTCCAGCAGATTTAAGAGAAGCTAATATCTCCAAAACTGGGCCTGACAAATGCAAATAAATTGTATTGCGGCCCCCTTTTTTTTTCTCTTTTGTTCCCAAATAATTTTCAGCCTTTTTTTGACAAAAGGGGGGGGAAGAAATGAGCTGCAGCTGTTGTTATTGTTGTTGTTTTTTTGTTTTTTTTAAAAAGGCTATTTTGGATATTTCTCACTTGTGTAAAGAGAAATTTACTCCCAATAATGCACAAAAAAACTTGATAAGATCCATTAATCCAACAAGTCATTAATCAACATATAAGGTCGCATAATACTGTTATATAATACAGGATTGAAGCTGGGTCTTACGTTACTAAACCTCTCAGTTGTAGCACTGATGCTCGTCGTGCTTGTACTGTATTAAACCCATTGTTGAGCATTTTTATGGGACAGATTTACATCATCATTACTTCATCATCGCCGTTTACACACGCATCTTTTAACACTCGTGGTGGAGAAGTTGATCAGAGGGCAAATGTATGTGATATTATAGGACTGAGGTGTGTTACAGGTCCATGTCGGACGCTGAAGTAGAAATGTCGGCGGCGAGTGTGTAGAATCACAAAGCGCACACACACATTTATATTAGAGCACTTGTTTTTAAGATGTGTTCGAGGTCAGTGTGCAGAGTATAAAGTCACATCTTCCTTTCCATGGCAGACACTGCCATCGGTGTTCCTTTGTTTTATCTCCTCCCCTGCCAGGCGTGGATCAATTTTATTTTCTCTACAGGCGTCATCTTACAGCATTCCTCTGTTTGAGCCTCTTGATTCTTGGAATTGCATCATTACCGACTTAATGCGATTCTACTAGACTTGTCTGGAAGCCTTTACTTCTGAGCTGGTGTTTGTCTGGGGGGAATTTTCGTGTCATCTTACTCATTCGCAGCCGTTTACTGTTTGCAGACGTGCCAGAGTTCTAAAACTCAGTCATGCTCACGTCATCGTTGTTTTTTTGTTTTTTTCAATCTGCACTTATTTGACCAACGTATCAATGATTTCTCCAGACCAGATCACGGTTACCCTCAGGGCGATAACAGCCGGAAAAGTGAGCACTTGTGGCATTTTTCTAAACACTTTATGGATGGATGTTGAGTGATGAGAAGCGCAAAGACAAGAGTAGGAGGAACCATTGAATTTTAAAAAAGAGGGGCAAAGTTATTGGTGCCTTTTTTTTTTTAATGTTTTATACAAGTTTTTCTTTTGATACAAAACACAAACTACTCTTGAAATGTATAAATCCTTATTTGTTCTTTGCCGTGTGTAATTTGTAATTTGCTGCTTTGTTCTACTAGATTTGTGTAATAAATGAAACCTTTTATAAATGGAATTATTGTATGGAGTGATATCAAAAAGCAAACTTTCTTTTCTTTTTTCTTTTTTTTTTTTTCAGTAATCTGATTTCACTTAATGTAACAGTGGAAACTGTACACAAAAGGACTTCCCACATTACCCAGTAATCTGTTAAATATATGCAACTGGTCACTGTGTCTTTATTCACAATTTGTCTTTTCTCGATGAATGACTGCAGATCCTCACTTCAACGTTTGTTGGAATCAGAGCAGTGTGCCTGACTGGCCAGCAGAGGGCAGAACAGTACAGCAAACACATCCTGTTAAGTTTGAGGTGCTCGTCGCTGCTGAGCAGCCTTTATCTGTAAAGAAATGAACCGCAGGCTCAGAGGGAACATTTGTCTGCAGGAAAAACCAGCTGCTGGACGAGAAAATCTGCAGACTTCAAAATGTATTTTGAGTGTTGTTGTTGGAGTCTCAAACCCCCCTCACAGAGGTGATGCGTTTGCTTTTAAAAGCCTTGAATTGAGGGTCAATAATAATAAGACCTTTTAAATGTGGGGATGTGAAATAGTTGTGCGTAGCCATTTGTAAGTGTGAATATTTTTAATCTGCAGATTATCTCACATTACTTCTTCTCAGGTTGTGCAGGTTTCTTCTGCTTTGGTTTGATTCACTAAATCATTTCTCTTCCTGTTCTCTAATCTCTCGCTGCAGGATGGACGGTAAAGCACGTTGAGTGGTTTATTATTAGCAGTAGACCAAAATGAATCGGCACCACCATTATCATGAAGAAATAATTACCATAAGAAATCAATATCCTGTATACATGCATTATATGACTAGGTGGAAGATTGAAAAGGAAAGTATCCTGCTGCAAAGCTCTAATAGGACTTCCATTTTAAAAATGGCCTCATTTCCAGCTTTTATTATACTCATATTCCACATCCAACCAAGGTGGAGCCTCGAGTGCTTATTAAAAAGGTTCATTCTGAAACCACAAATGGAGTCCTTAAGGATAACAGGGACAAGTACTACAGAGTGTACTAATCCTATCTCCCCAGAATCTGCTTGTAAGACACTACAAGAAACAATGAGCCAGACACGGGTCCAAGTGTTTTTCATCCCCCTCCCGGTACGCCAGAGGAGGTCGAGAGAAAGAAGGGGATGATAGCATTACTCACAATCCATTACCACTCCCCGGAGGTGCTCTGCATACGAAGTGATGGAGCGAGGGAGGGTGGTGGTGGTGATGAAGGAAGGGGGCAAGGCAGAGCGATGAAGAGAAAGAGAGAGTTGGGTTTTGGAGGGTGTTTGTTTGCTGGAGGGCCCGCGGTAAAGCAATATGAAACTTGATTATTCCTTTTCAATAACCGTCTGCTGAGCATCCCGTGGAGACGTCGCAGGTTGCTGATTAGTTCGTCAAAATAATAGAAGGCTCTTGAATAGCCTCGTTAAGATGTCTAACTTTAAGTACAGACAGGAGTCCAAATCATTGTTCAGTCTGAAGCATACGATAATGATGGATTGACTGATGCAGAGGGATGTTCCTGCGAACACTGCAGCCTCGTTTTTTTAATCAAGTTTGTTTATTTTTAAGGGCAGACAATATACAAAGTGCTGGAGTAACAATACATGAAGATATATATATATATATATTTTGTTTTAGACATTAATACAGAGTATATACACTCAGTATGTACACTTAAAGGCATCGCAGGGGTTTACACACCCGGTCTTTCACCCTCTCAATGCCCCATTTGGTGGAATGACAAATGTTACGGTGGTGGGTTCACCTCCAGTTTCACTTTCAGTGCCATCTGTCCTTCTCCTCCTGGAGTCTCGCTTTAACCCATCTGTTACCTCTCGGGGTGTCACCTCCCCACCAGCTTGCCCCCTTACCAAATTTCACTGCAGCACTTTGATTCTGAAGGTCGTTACAGTAGCATGTTAAACATGGCTGATCTGTCCAAAATCCGCTCCTGAGCGAGTCCCAATAGTGGCCGCAGGCTGAAAAGTCGCTCTTTGGAAGTTCATATTTGACAGTAATTAAATGTAAACACAGTCGTTGATATACCAGGAAACGTTTTCACTGCTAACGTCTGACATCTTGTTCTTCTTTTTTTTTCTGAAAAATATTCATATGATACACTCAATCTGACACGTGAGAAACAAAGTTTGGCTGTGACTATCTTATATACATCAATGAAAGCTTTTTTTCTTTGTTTTCTTAATAACCCTCTATATCAAAACTTATCCAAAATCAGTGACGGTACTATACAAATGACTATCTGCTGTACTAAGATCTGTAAAACGAGTTTTTGCTTTCTAAACCAACACAAGCACGTCAGCTAAAAGTCATTTAAAATGTGTCGCAGCTCAGCTGATGAAGGGACTCCAGACACCATGTGGCAGTAGATTCCCAGCAAGAGCCTATGCAGTTATTTTAGTTCTTATCCATGCACGCTCCTCCATCAGACTGATCCCACCTCAGATAAACATTAAACACTTTGGTAAACATGTGACAGGTTTCCAGAGAAGGACGGGGCAGTAACCAGTTAAGGGGTCAAAGTCGAGCTAGAATGAGGCAAAACTGCAGCCAAAAAGGTCAAAGCAGATGTTACTGCCCACGAAGCATCACAGCTGGAAAAGCAGAATGCAGTTGAACTTAAATGAGTAACAGACTAAAGTTTTATATCTCAAATCAAAAATCCAACCTCCCCAGCCTGGTTGGCCCTCGGCCCCTCTAGCCCAGGATATCCAGGTAAACCGGGGGGTTCTTGACCAGGGCCAGCAGACGGCTGTGGATGTCCTTCATGACCATCCTCTGCTGGGGCTCTCTCTGCCAGCAGCCCTGCATCAGCAAGTAGACCTCCTTCGGGCAGGTGCGTGGCCTCTCCAGTTCCCGTCCCTGTGTGATGCATTCAATGGCCTGTGGAACAGGAGGGAAAAATACATTTTTTAATGGCCAGAATAAAAGACGCATTCTTAATCTGTTCTCAGGGCTTCTGTTCACATCGTCTTGTTAACGGGCTTTCTAATGGAGTTAGAGCCTACCAGTCCTTTATATCTGAGTCTGATCTAAAAGTTTCACATCAAAAATGAGCAAAACCTTTTTCTTCAGTCATTAATGTTGAGCAGGAAGCAAAGTCTGCAAATGAGAGAAGTTTGACTGCTATAAAGCCTGAAAGTTTTTTAAATACATGCTTACTGCTGTAAAAAGGATCACCTTTTTAAAAATGAACCAAAATGCAACTTAAAATGTAAAGTTTGTTAAATTTATTTCACACACTGAGTACAAGAAACCAGCTTCTGTATGTGAAGGTTCTGTGTTGCATTCACCCATCCAACACAAAGCACAACAATGTGATTGGTCCATTTGTTGTTGTCAGAAGAACAACACAGTGACGTCGCAGCATCATCATCTTTTAGCACCAGTAATTCACTCAGTGAGGGCAGTTTTCTTGTAAATCAGCACCGTGGATCCACTGGCTGCATCGACTCGCTTCCAGCATTGAACATGAAACAAGAAAGCTAACAAAAGCAGCCTGATCAGACATTACAGATCCCATTCAGAAGAAACGTGGGGTTAGAGAATTAATGAATAACATGCTATTAGAATAGTGAGGTGGGCAGGTGGTGGATGTTTGCAAAAGTCTACAGCTGTAAAGCAGGAGGGAGAAGTTGTTTACAGCAAAGTTTAGTTGTTGTTTCTTGTTTATTAGTTTCTATTTAAAAAGAAACAAGCGGTGATGACATGTACTGAGAAGTTTTTTTATACACATAAAAAATTAACCTGTCAACATTGTGAGGAGGGCAGAAGCTATAATATCTTTTTATATTTATCTGTCCAACGCTGATGCAGCTCTGGTCTTGGTTTTTATTTGTTAAACCAAGAAAATCTTTCTCTGACAGTCACGGCTTCACCTGAATACAGCTGAGGATAACAATTATCTGTATGGTGCTAAAAGCACTAAAAACATTTTAAACTCTAGCACTAAGTGTCCTTGGTACTCCCTCCAAACCTCGAGCATGCAAGCACACATTTAGTCTCTAAATGAAATGTTTATGCTGCTCGGTTTATTGCCCAGGATGACAAAGCATCGTTCCTGGAAAGACACGCTGTTTGTTTTTTTAAGTTTAGTACTTCAAAGATGCAAGGCCCTTCTGTAGAATTACTCCGTACTAATAAAAGTTGACCAGTGAGGGTCGTCAGGAATCTCTATGTTTGAAGTTATTATCTTTGTAAGGAGCTGTTAACAATATTAAACATGGCTGTTCATTGCCAGAGTCAAGTTAAATCCTATTTTCAGACCTTTATTTGGTCAGAATGTGAAAATAAGTTCGGATGTAAAACAAACAGAATGCAGCTTTAAATCAATGAAAGCTTATATTTAATTGAAGATACAACTGAAAGTGCAACTCGTATCAACTGCATCACCTCATAGTAAGCTTTTGTGAGCTGAGGAGATCAGTTTCTGTATTTCTGAAAGTTAAATGTGTTTGCTCTCTGTAGGATTTGAGCTGAAAGGAAAGCAGCCTTAAAGGATCCGTCTTGGTGTTTTAAACTTGCATTTGTGGGTGATGTGAAAAACTGTGTTCACCCACAAAGGTTTTCAGATATTTGCCATCTGAAGGTCATTTATTCAGCCTCATCACTTGCAGAGACTTCTCTGGATTCTCTGATGCTTTAATAATAACAAAAGACAGAGGCATGTCATTGTTAGGCTGTGAAACTATTTTTCCACACATGTCATTTACACAGCACTGAAACTCCAACTGATGGAGAAAAGGAAAGATTCTCCTCTGTGAGATGTATCCTTGCATTTTATTTTTTTTTTAAACGTTACTGTCATCAGATTTAAATATTTAAATATGAGCACTGAATGCTTTGTAATATATAGAGTCGGGGGTTAGATGCTTTGGTAGTCAGTGATAATAACTGGAAAATAAATAAAGTAAAAATACCACAAAGTAGAAACTTACATTTGAATATAGTGAAAGGACCATAAAGAAAAAGACTATTATTCAGTATTACAGCATGGATGTGTACCTGCATGCTGCAGTTGGTAAAACTATTTTTAATAACTGTATACACTGCCTGAAAAATACAACAGCTGATAGACTGATGTTTATAAAAGTTAGTAATAGCAAAAACATTCAAACAAAAAAACCTTTGAAGAGTGAGATAAATGTAAACCTTATAAAGCAAACCTTAAAAGAGCATGCAATAGATTCATTCACGGAGACTTTCTGAACCACCAAATATCTATGTGCTGCACCAAGGACAATATGTTTTAATAAACAGCACAATAACCTCACTATCTACAGATTCACAAATATGTGTCAATTAGCCGTGACCTCGCAGTCAAATGAGAGCCACCGAAATATGAACAACCTCCAGCTCCGACACTAATCGCTGCAATGACTGATTCAGTTCACACGCTCTTGTTGCTTAGTGGATACATCACTGTCGAGGATAAGAGAGAGGATTTCACTGTGCTCTGCGACTCTCTTCTTCATTGTTAACCTCGGCCTGATCCGGTGATCACAAGAGGCCTGTCGCTGCTCAGCCACTTTGCACCAAAATGGCCTATCAATCAGAACGCAGACTCATGCTGTCCGCCGCCGTCACAGCCTGTCACGTCAGTATTTTGGGATGATTTATTTCCACCACTGACTTATTAGGCAACATGATAATTTTACCTGTCCTTCATTGGACGAGACGGATTAGGTTAACGAGGTTACGGCTCATTAGCCAGGGGCAAAAATGAAAGCCAATGAGATTAGAATTGAGTGCAAAGGAAAAGTGATCTACCCTTCTCTTGAAAGGAGAGAGGGCTACAGCCTGTAATAGCATCACTGTGGTCACAATGGAGTCCCACTTCTTGGTGCTTGAGCTGAAAAGGCTAGACTGGACCGCCCTTAATTACTATGAATTTATTGATTAGTTTAAGAGCACCGGGTAAAGTATCTGAGACTGTAGTGAAAATGTTTTGTTTTGCAAGTTTAAATTATGTGAAGGCACCAAAACATTTCAGGCTGCTATTTACAGAAGTATTTGCATTAGCGCATGTTCAAGAATGAAGTTACTTCAAGCTGACTTCATTTATTAAAAGAACAAAAGACTCAACAAAGTATTTACAAACTCCACACAACAGTGAGAAAAGTTCTTTCTTATGCTCTGATTAAACTTTATATAAACATTGTCTGCCTTTTTTACATCTGCAAGTACGAACCACGACGCAAACTACAATTAGCTTGACTAGCTTGTTACCTTGTTGTTAGCTCGTTGACTAGCTTACCTCGTTTGCTTGTTAAAAAAAAGTGTAACAAAGGAAAAGTAGGCTGTCAAGTTGTGCATAAGTGAAATCTTTTTAAAGATTTCAGTTAACTATTTTTCTGTATCCTACTTAATGTTGCTTGCTAGTATATGCTATTAGCAGAACAGTCAGAATTGAAATTAAACATGTTTTCCACAACATGCCGACCACCACTCATGCAGTTTGTTTTAATTGTTTTGACATTATCTTAATAAATAGTTGAAATCAAGAAATGTAAGCACACAGTGTTGAACTCGAGGCTAAAAAAGTGAAATACTAAAGCCTGAACATGCAGCAAGGAAGCACTCTGCAGAAACCTGGACCTAGCAACTCTTTCTGGGCAAAGCTACATACATTTACACAAACCACATAAAAAGGATATCCAGTTTATGTCCAGCAGTCGTGCATAGATCATAATCCTTAAAAATAAAGCAATCGGTGAATCCTTGAGGGGTAATAACTGCAGTGAGTGATTTTTCTTTCCTACAAAAACTTTCACATATCATTTTTGGAAACATTTTTAACATTTGGTAAAATTGCTCATTTGAAATCCGACGGAAAATTAGAATGGAGGAGTGATATGATGTGCATGTCTGCATATAAAACATAACGTTCAGAAAAAACCACTGTGAACTGGACGAGACTGCCCAGCATTCATAGCTGTAACTACCGGTAGCTCTAAGGTTACCAAAGTCTGGACCTCAGTAATTAAAAGTAAGTAAATACTGTATGTTGTTATAAATCATGAGATGGCTTTTATGCATGACTCAGTGAAATGATAACTGGTTGTTGTAAGTATAAGGAGTGAATCAGAGACACAGGAGAGTCAGGGCCGGTAGCCTTCTCCTTTGTGCCATTTTAATTATTTATTTATTTTTAATTTCATGGTTTTATATTGTTTATAAAACAATTGTCTCTTTTACAGAGGTCTGTAAAAGAGACAAGCTGTATAAAATCAAGTCCTCCGTGTTTAAAATTTATGGTTTTGATTGTATTGCAACTCTAGGACCTTCTAGCACAGGTGCTAACCCTAAAATATTAAACATTACAAGAAAAACAAAATGTGGACCTCTCTAATTTCTAAAGCCTGGTTACACCCATGGCCACACTGTGAATGGTTTTCCTCCTTTCTAGCCAACCAGTGGGACTAAACTAAACTAGTTATTTGCTCCAGCTTCATGTGATTTTCCAATAAATAAGTGCTGTCAGTCTTGTCATCTAAAGAAACTATCAAACCTAACATGTTTGGTCCAGACTTACTTTTCAGTCTGACATAAACTAACACTTCAAAATGTGAAACCTCTCCTTGACCCGGGTCCAGACCAAACAACCAAAGTCTTGGAGGGACTTTAGTCCAGATCCAACTGAAACTTGGTTTTTACACTACTACACCAGCGGTCTCCAACCTTTTTTGCGCCACGGACCGGTTTATGCCCGACAATATTTTCACGGACCGGCCTTTAAGGTGTCGCGGATAAATACAACAAAATAAAACTAGTACCGGTACCGAAAAAAGAAGATTTATTCATAACACACGTGAAAAGACCCAGGAAAACAGAGTTAACGATAAAAACGATAACAAAATAACGCTGAAAACCGATAAAAACCCTGAAAACCATACATTTCACACCTGAGCCTCAACTCTCGCGGACCGGTACCAAACGACTCACGGACCGGGACCGGTACCGGTCTGAGGCACAGCTCACAGGTGTTTATGGCTGAGTGAGAGAATGCCATCATATAAAGAGGAAGGACTGGCGCTCTATGATAACCCCACAGATGGAGGTTGTCCCACCCTTGACCCCAAATGAACCAATTAATATTCATGCTGTTGCACTGCGCATTTGCACATTAGACTAGTTTTAACAGTGAAGTTGCAAACATCTACTACTTCTTGTTAATTTAATAAATATTTATTTGGTTTATTGTATCCATAACACAAACCAATATGGAATCTGTTCAGTATTTTCAGAAATTAAGCTTTTTTGGTTATGGTATTTTAGGACACAGTCACCACACTTTCTGAAGCTTTTTCAATTAAATTTGAAGGTCATTTTTATATCCAGGTGACCAATTAAAATTCCATTCATTTAGATTAAAAACTATGTGCTGATTGAAGGCTAACTGGTGCCATCAGGCACATGCCCATCATCAGAACAGTCAGTGTGAAGTACAGAGAGCGCACAACCCATGTAGGTAGAGACAGCAGGATGAAGGTACGTTGCTTTAAGTTCTTCACTGCACTGCGGTGTGAAAGCAAAGCTAGCTGGAACAAAACTTTGATAGCACTTTCTATTAAAGCTTAGTAATAAAGTGGTAATAGTAGGGTAAAAAGGCAGAAACAAGAATGATATAATTAATAATAATTTGGTAATTTCTAAGTTATTACGACTCAATTACAAAGTAATAATCAGTTAATAGCCACAGTTATGGGCCCTTATTATCTCATTACATAATGTTAGTGGAATATTACTGTAACCACTGTTGCTACCATGATATTACTTTAATATCAACTGGTCTTACTTTGTAATTGAGGTGTAATAACTTTTACCGCATTATTACACTCTTGTTTCTGCCTTGTTACCCTGCTATTACCACATTATTACATGATTGTATGTGCCTTGTTACCACGCTATTACCACATTATTACCAAGCTGTAATAGAAAGGGCTACCGAAATTTTGCAACGCAATTTTATAATGTTTTTTTCCACTGCAACCCACCTCGCTATTGGACAGCTGATACCATGGCTGTTTCCCATAGGTGAAGATCTCCCAGAGGACCACGCCAAAGCTCCAGATGTCGCTCTCCGTCGTGAACTTCCTGTACATGATGCTCTCAGGGGGCATCCAGCGGATTGGGAGCATTGTACGTCCACCCACCTGAAGATAAAGAACCGAATACTAAGTGAACTTTAATTATGGAAACCTTAATTAGCTTTGTTGATGAGATTAAATCTTAAATAGATTTTCCTTTCCACTCATCTTGAGCTGCTTATTACAAGCTGGGAGACCAGCTTGAAATCAAAAATAGGCAGACTGTTTAAAAATTATTACAGTAGTTTCATGCAAAATAAAAAAAGGAAAAGAGATTAACCGCCACAAAAATAATATTAGACAGTCTCTTAGGTTGTAATTTTTATTGCATTTATGAGATCTCAACATGCTGTTAATGAGTAAAACCCTTTCACTGGCACGTGAAAACAGGAATGAACCTTTCTCACTTCTGAAAAAAAAACCCTGCTGTAACAGATTTGAGCGATTTTCAAATTCTCAAATCCCACCAAGGGGAAGCAACATGAAAAAGTCCAGTGCTATTATTCAGCCGGTTTGACTGTAGTTTTTAAAAGTACACACTCCACAGTCTCTCAAAGGTTATGCTGCGATTTACAGATCCAAAATGCACGACATACTCTGCTCCTGCAGTTTAAATCGCTTCAGGAGAAGACAAAGCACATGTGCTTCTTATCTTAGTGTATTTTTCAGAATATGTATTATGTAGCTTAATCATAATAACCCATTAGTCATTTTTAACAGAATTACAGTTGATTAGGGCATGGTTTTTCTTCTTAGACAACATCATGTTTTCACCCTCACACAAGAAAAATTGAAATATCTCTTCTTACGAGACTAGAGAAGTTCAATATTAGTATTTGATCTATAATACTTCAAAGTGCAAATCCAAAACACTGAGTTCAATAAGAGAAGGAGTGGGCCTATTATACCTATTCATTCTCCTCTCTGAGTTTCAGACAGTTTTTTCTACTCCCGGTTTGTTATGATGCAGCAGAGAGCAGGTGTTCCAAATAGCGGTCATCTCATGAAAATAGCTCTGGCCGTGAACACAGAAGCCCGAATTACCTGTTCCTGCTCAAATATTTGATTTGGGTGAAGCAGCCAAGCGAGCTCAAACAGTTGCTTTCAGGTAGTGGACGAACTGGTATAAGATAAAAAATGATTATTTTGAACTCTGAATTGTGTTAAGCTGCTTTAACAGACCCAAGGATAAATGTATGAAGATGAAAATGAGGGTAATAAAAGTAAAATAAAACAGTACAGCTGTGTTTACACATGCACTGCAGCCCTCACTTTTCAGAGAAACACAAGACAGAAAGGAAACAATCTTTAACCTGCAGCCTCACTTGTCTGCGTGATGTCAGATTGGGAATTCACAGCTTGTGAGTGGTTGCACTGTTTCCAGATTAAGTATTTCCAGTACCGAGAGCAGATCAGAACCCCTGCTGTGTGTTACATGTGATAAAGGAACAGCGCACCTTGATTTGTTTCAAATACATTCACACAGCAGCAGGATAACAGCAGTCTTCAGTTGGGTTTTTAAAAATATACCTAACTATTATTTTTATTGTTTCATATACTGAATTAGAGCTTTTCACACTCACATATTTCACAAGATTATAGTCAAATACTCAGAGTGACAACAAGGGTTTTGCATCTTTAAACTTTTGGCTGGAAGAATATAAGAATATCTTTTGGCTGTATATAAATGATGGCCATGATGGCGCCCGTTGTTTCAAGTCAAGTCCTGTTTCTAACAGTTCAAGCTGAACATTTGCTCATCACCATCGAAGCTTTTGTAAATCACTCTTGATGAGTTGATTGCTAGCGCTACCATCGTTTATTGTCATTTTTCACTTTAATGGTGACCATCATCTACAAAATTAATATCCTTATATTCATTAATGGCTGAAAATAGCAACATAATAAATAAAGATATCAGGAAAATGTTCACTGAGGCCACAACGTGAGAAATAGTTTCACTTTCTCACAGACTTCTTTACAGTTTAACTTCTCTCAAATCTGCTGGCCATTAAAGAATGTAGCATTAATGAACTTCCACACTGGAACTTCTAGTTCTTGCTAACCAGTTAACAGAACTACAGTCTAATACATGCAGGTTTGTGGGGGTATGTACGAGGGAAAAAAGACCCCCAAAAACACAGATGAATTATGTATCATGTAAAATGTATCAAATGAAATCTCTGGGATTCTAAAGAAGTGGAAATCTGGTTTCACTTGTGGAACCAGAATATTATTTGCATGATGTGTCCTCCTGTTGCGACCCAGACTGCAACAAAGAGGGATTAGCCTGGAAACCAACAATGGAGTAATTGCAGTTTGATTGCATGTATTCATGATACGGTTTACATACTTCAAACTTCCTGTTGTTGAAACGTATTAGATCGGCGTCAAACAGTGTTGTTTGCAGTAAACTGAAATAGCTGAAATCTTGCTTTTAATGACAAATACGTCAGAGCAGATAAAACAGAAACAAATGGCAAGGTAGTAGTGAAGTAAAGGAGTAATATTTCTGTCTTGTTTAAATTTACAGTCCCATTAAGAATAACAGTCAAGTATTCCTTTTATGTTTCAGCTGTTTACCCGATAGTAATCTGTGCTGTAGATGTCTCTGGACATGCCGAAGTCTCCGATTTTGACCACCAGACCCTCTCCAACCAGACAGTTGCGAGTTGCCAGGTCACGGTGAACGAAGTGCAGCGATGCGAGGTAGACCATGCCTGAGGCAATCTGAGCAGCGATGTGCAGCATCTGAGGGAGAGTGAGTTCACCCAGCGGGGGCATCTTGGACTCGTCCAGGATGTGAGCGTCAGGGCCGTGAGCTCTACAGGGGGCACAAAAAGGACACACAGCTGCTTTAATCCACATCTGTTGGTCTGAATTTATTTTAATATTTTAGCTTCATCAAAATGTAGGAAGATCGCAAGGTGAAAGTAAAAATACCACAGTTTCAAAATCTACTCAAAAGAATTAGAGGCACAGTGTACCTAATGCATCCAAAGCAAATGTTTTGGTGTGTGTTACACTGATTTATGTGGCATTATTAGACCGTTGATACAGATGCACAAGTGTATAAGCAGCAGTTTATTGTAGCTGGATGAGATAGAGGTGGATTCAGCTTCTTAGTACACAAATAATTAAGTTCTAAGATATTGGGGGTGGGTTTGAGTGCTTTTCAAAACAGTCACAGAATGAGGCTGAGCAGTTCCAAGGAAACACAAAGTTCTGCATTCACTGTGTGGACTTTTCTCTTACTTATATAAAAGATTCTGAGAAGTTTAGAGAGGAAAAGAGTGCACATCTGAAAAGCACTACTCTTTGCAGAAGGTCACACGGAAATAGGTTGGGGGCACTGATATAATCTTTAACAATGTGCTGCACAGTTTTAAAAGTGTCTTTAATGTCAAATCTGAATCTGAAAAGTAATTACTGCTGTCAAAGTAGAGGGGAAAAGTAGAGACAATTTAGTAAAAAGAGTATGAAGTGGATTTACACAACTTGGGTATTTTCAAATAAAAAGTGTATTTCGTTATTTTCCAGACTAAGAGAACAACAGAAAAAAAGTCATATTTTTAAAAAACAAAACTGACTAAAGTTGTCAAGCAGCACAGGCACAGGATGACCCAACTTGTTTGAAGGTTGTCTAGTCTTCAAAAGACTTTATATTGAAGTAAGCAGGATAATAATATTTACATGAAGTGAAAAGGTACATTATTGATACCTTCAGACAAATTTATTCTCTGCATTTGATCTGTTTCAGCAGTAAGTCTGTGCTTTACTGTCACGTAAAGAGCGACTTCAGGTGTCATGCTGCAAATGAGACACCCTGATGAGACTCCTCTTTGTTTATAGTGTACAATACTGTAAGTCATTTCTGCTCATTAACTATTTGATGACCTATTTTCCTTTTCTCTTGAAATGAATACTTTATTAAATGCACTTTTTCTGCATTAGATGGGAACTTCTGACCACTGTGGACCGTAAACTGAATGAACTCGACATGCTGTGATATTCTTCTCTGTTGCTGGTGGCTGTGCAGGTTATCAAACACTTGAATGAGCAATTCAGGCTTTTGTATTTTTTTGCTGTAACTATGGCACCAACCTTGGGTGACCTGAAGGACGATGACCTCAGCACGTAATCTGCAGATTGAACATTTGTGACATATACGAGCTCTCTAGAACTCCCCAGACATGGTGAGCACGACCACACCATAATAAAGCCATTTAACAGTGATGCTTAATCAAAAACACAAGGCTTATAATACGCCTACAATTGATTTGCAATAATGCAATTCAGAGATGCAGAGTGCATTAACTCTTCATGGTTTTCGTGGACCATAAACACCCACTCTCACGTCCAACTCCTGCCTAAATGAGCAAATCACAGCTGATGTGTCTCCATCCATCCTAATATCTCTCCTCTCCACTTTGTCCCCTCCTTACAAAGGAAGTTGTCTATACAATCACTATTAGTTTAAAAGGCAGGTGGCAGGGTGGGAAAGCAGCTGCATTGTGGGGTCTCTCGGACATCTCACCCATGCTGTCTGCTGAAAATGCGATTTCCATCCCTTCGTGAACATATATCTCGGGAAAAGTCTGTTCGCGCGCCTCTCTGTGTGTTTTCATTTCCAATCTGCCTCCTGTGGAGGACACCTGGCAGACAGCATCAGCGCCGTCTGCTCTAATCGTAGCGTCAGATGGTTGCCCAGGTGCCAAGTGAGCGCTATTCAGCACTGACCCTTCTCCTCCAGCTCCCCCCAGAGGTTTGCAAAGGTTTTTTAAATGATTGAAAAACAGATTTTGAAGCTCTACTGTCACCATGTTATGCAACAATTCAAGTGTTATCATTTGTTATCATTACCTAATTTGCCACATAACCCCTTCTCCAGATAAAAAAATCAGTTCATTGCACAGTTCAAGGAATCTTCTCTATTTCTATCCAAGTGCTAAAACACTTGGATAGTTGAAATTCACTCTCATTTAAGATTATTGATGCGAGGACTTCTTATAAATAATAAAAACTGACCCATGCCTTGACATGTTGTGAGTTATCCAGGAGATTCAGCTTTTACATTTCTCTCTCTTTGTCTCTCCTTCAGTGTCTTCGGTTACTTTTCTTGTGATGGTATGAATGTTTGGCTTGAGTTCTTGTATGTCTGTGTTTTTCACTCATCTGTGAGTCACTCTTTGCCTCCCTGGGTAATAATTTGCATCTCTTTATCCATACTGTAAATTTACAATGCTGTTTTTACTGGTGGGTTGCTATCACTTGTAAGGCACCAGTGGCTCACCTAAGGGCCCTGGGAATGGTTTATATACACAGTGTTTTATGTATAGTATGCAATTTTAATCAGAAAACATTTCTTCTTCTACAACACGCACAATCCCCCACCCGTCACGTACACAGTAACAATTATTTTCTTGTCAGCAGTCACTCAAATGAATTATGTGGCTCTCAGTTGTTTTTACATCACATTTGATAAAAACCACAGTGTTTTTTCACATTATTGTTCGAGCTGGTAAAAATCGAACCATGCAGCAACATCTGTGCGTGAAGAAATGAAGGCACCGCCAGAGCGGCAGAGAAACTGCAGTTCCTCTGATGGACACTTGTCATGTCCTCATGTGACATTGGTGCTTTTCAGGGCATTTTAAATGCAATGATCACACATAAGTTTGCTCACTTTGTGGTTAATTCTATTAACAGACCATCCATGAAGTCTTTGCTCTTGTTTTGGTGAGTTAAACTCGAGTACTGTATTTTCTGTGTTACGTAGAATTAATTAGGCAGGTATCCTTGTTCAAATAAGTCATACTATTTTTTTTCTTTTGCTGATAAAGCTGAAATCTTTGCTACATTCCTCTTTTATGCAGACATTTTTGGATCCAATACCAAGCTGCACATGCAGGATTTGAATGGAAAAGGCAAACAGGCTAAAAGTACTGAGCTAATTTAGTCAGTTTCCTGCCACTGAGGTAAACAGAAACCAAATTACAAGGAACCTGACTAGACAGGAGTGTATTATTGCTTTCAGTTCTTTTGGTCGGTCTGCATTTTCTGTAAAGGCTGTGAAACACTGTACGCATCAACATCAGAGAGCAGAATACAAATTTCAAACATCAGTTTTATCAGCATTGATTTGGTTTGATTCTCCTGTTTCCACCTTGCTTTCCTTTTGTATGAGTTTTCTGTTATGTTTTTTTCTTCTTTCTAACTTTTATTTGTTTCTATAATGTTGATGTTATATATTGTTTTGTTTTTAGGTTGCTTTTAAGATCTAGTTGGGGACTACAGATGAAAACTAGCCCATGGCTAACTCTGGTGCATTTACAGAAATGCTTATTGATGAGTTTTGTCCATAAATGTAAATAAATAAATAAATAAAACACCAATCTTTATCTAGCAAACCAGTGGAGGCGTTTTCTGCGGTACGCATCTAAACAATAATGTGGCTAAAATGTTATTTCAGGACTACAAAATTAGGCCATCCCCTTATTCACCCCATCCTCCCCTCCCAGGTCTCCCTGCTGGATGTGTGGACATATTTAGCTTCACAAACCTCTCAAACAACATTTACATGTGTGACTAAGGAGATGCACACCAGCTTACAAGTCTCTAGCTTCCTCCTCACAGTGCCAACTGTTAACTGCGTGAATGACATACAGGTGAAGGTTTTAGCTTGCTGACAAAGAAAATTATGACAAAGAATACAAAGCACCTTTTATATCTAATGAAATGAAAACAAGACTACAATACATCTACCTGGCATGGAAATTAACAGACTAAAATGCTTTTGGTGTAATATCTGGTTCTTGTTGTTTGTCAGCTGCTTTGGTTCGAGTGTTTTAATATGTGAATAAAGTTTGGTCAGTTTTTCTTAGAGCAGATGGGTCCAGTGTTGGTGAGTTTCAACACTGGAATGAAATTAATTTCTTCCTGTTTCAAATTCAGCAAACTGGTCCATACATTTACCGACACATTAGGTTCACAGAATCGTAAGAGGAAGGGAATGGAAGAGAAATTATGATGTAAAATAATTAATAGATGATGTTAAAGGTGAGCTGGTAATTCATGTGAAATGCTTGACTTGAAAAGAAACACACGCCAAATTTCAGAGAGATTTAAAACCACCCTGGCTATTTCTGGGTCTCCAAATCATCTAAACACCGTTCAAACAGGACCTCGGAAACCTTACAGTGTGGAGAGAGAGGAAACGCAGCCGCCTCAAAAATATCAAATATAATAGTCTGTGAAGTCGAGCACAAACACTTCCACGGCTGTCCTCATGACTCCTTGTGGCATTTCTACTTAAACACACAAAATCCACCGATACGCCGAGTGACCGGCGGAACCGCACATGCTGCACTGAGGTCAGCTGAGTGGGTTTAACTTTTAAACACACATCAAGTTTGAGTGATAAAAGCAGTGCAGCTCACAGATGGCAGCTTTTAAAGAGCTGCAGTCATTTATCTGTGTGAGCGAGTCCCATTTTCAACATCTGAAGCACATCTAAAAGCAGTATATGATCATTTAACAAATTACATATTATGATGTTGTTGTAAACAGATTCAAGTGTTGGTACTTGTGTAAGTGGAGGTTGGCGCACAAAAAGATAACGTATGACAACACTGTAAAACAGTTACATGATGTAAAATACGTCTAACTGCTAACAAAGACTCTACATTAAATTAATAAACAGGTTTAAATAGCTTTTAACTACATTTATAGTTTAAAAAATGTGAAATGTTTGCAGAGCGCTTATAAACCAGGTGGTTCTGACCTGCAGGGGCTTAATGGATATAACCAGCAGGGGGGAAGTGAGGGCTGAGACAATGGGAAACACAGTTTTTAATTCTTTGGTCTTAAAAAGCAGGTAATGAAAAATGAAAAACACCTGAGGTCCAGACTCAAATATTTAAAACTAGGATATTCAGTACTAGAGATGGACCGATCCGATATTACGTATCGGTATCGGTCTGATACTGACATAATTACTGGATCGGATATCGGAGAGAAATTAAAAATTTAATCCGATCCATTAAATATCAAAAAAGCACCTCACAAAACTTGCAACAGGGCGTAACTCTCCTCATAACCGTAGCACGTCGGAGCCGTGTGCTCACCTGATCAGCTGTGTGTATTTGTAGCCTTGCTACCAAACCAGCATTTCATCTCCGAGAAAGTTATCCCAGAGAGAAGTAAAGCAAGTGTGTAAGTTTATCGCTGAATGTTTGTAAAGCATTCCCACGTTAAGCTTAACAACCGATATATGGAGCGACTGCCTCTCTCTCCCTCCCTCTGCTGCTGCTACTTCAATCATGAAACTGATCAATGATCAGCTGATCGGCTTTTCTGTCGCGAGTCCGTCTTTGTTTTTGGCCCACTTTGCACCAGAAAGAGGAAACCAGCGGCTGAACAACAGCACCACGTTTAAGCTTGATAAGCTGTTGTTAGAATTTATTTAATATTACTTTCTACACCAGGATCTTTTTCTACATAGCTGACGCTGGTAACTGTGCAGGGGCGGATCTAGCAAAGTTTAGCCTGGGGGGCCGATAGGGCATGAACAGGGAAAAGAGGGCACAAAGACATGCATTTCTTTCTTATTCTCAGTTAAAATGTCTCGCTTTTAATAAATAATTATCTGAATCTTACACCCAAAGTTTTAATCTTATGTAAAATGCATAGAAGTCCATTACTGTATATAGTAACTATTAAGTTTAATATACCTAGTAATATCTAGTAAGCTATAGTACTTTTTCCTTTGGGAAGGTACCATCTGTGCATTCTGCAGTTCTGTTGAAGAAAGATGTTGAATCTATTTAATTATTCTTGAAAAATAATTTATTTCTGTGCATTTTTTTTCACACTGCATCAAATTAAAGTTGATCACGTCAATTAAGCATCGAGGGAGTTTGCAACCCTATTAGTTAGGTTGCTTAATATTTCTGCTAAGTACTCTTTAAAATACCAGAATAGGGAGGATGGTGTAGGTTTAAGTTTATTAAATTGATCAGTTTTGCTGAACTATGAATTATTTTGGGTGCAGTGTATTTTTTACATACAGGTATAACAGAATAGCTTTAGTGTTGTTGTTTATTTAAACTTTAGTATGAACGTATACAAAATGCAGCAAGATATTAAAAAACAGTTTTATTGATTAAAAAACACTATATGGGATTCATATCGGTATCGGCAGATATCCAAATTTATGATATCGGTATCGGACATAAAAAAGTGGTATCGTGCCATCTCTATTCAGTACATTAACAAATGTTCTTCAGAACATTTTAACTTTTCCCAACCCCCTGAGCCACGGTCGCCCTGTGGCTCAGGGGGTTGGGAATCGCATCTGTAACCGGAAGGTCGCCGGTTCGATCCCTGGGCTCTCTGTCCTGGTCGTTGTGTCCTTGGGCAAGACACTTCACCTACCGCCTACTGGTGGTAGGTGAAGGGCCGATGGCGCGATATGGCAGCCTCGCTTCTGTCAGTCTGCCCCAGGGCAGCTGTGGCTACAACTGTAGCTGCCTCCACCAGTGTGTGAATGAATAGTGGCATTGTAAAGCGCTTTGGGTGCCTAGAAAAGCACTATATAAATCCAATCCATTATTATTATTTTCCACATTTTTTATATCCTGAAAATTATAAAGTTCATTTCTTTCTTGTGAGTCTCCACATGACCATAACAGGCAGCGCCAGGTGAAAGTCGGTGTTACTACTTTGGACTCAAACACAGCATTTAGAGAAATATTCAGACGTTTTGTTATGATACTCAAAACTGAGTGTGGTGCATCCTGCTTCTATCAGTGTTCCTACTTGCACAACTTTACTCCACCTGTGCTTGACTGAATTTAATGGGCATAATTAGGAAAAGAACAGATGCTGTAAGGTTTCAAACTGCAGCCCCCAAAAAACAGGATATTCCTTAAGTGATTCTCAAATGGAGGAAGTTTGGAGGACGTTTCTCTTTTTGGAGATGGAATGAGCCAGAGTGCAGTACTCCTCTACTCCCCGCTTTATGGTAGAGATGGCCATACGGAAGCCCTTCCTCACTAAAAGACAATTGACAGTCTGCTGGGAGTTTCCTAAAAGGCACCTAAAAGACTTCCAGACCACAAAAAACAAGTCCTCCGGTCTGATCAAACAAAGACTGAACCACTTGGCCACATTTCCCATCAGCACATGCGGAGGAAGCCAAAAGCTGAGCTCAATAACACTATCCCTATAGTCAAACAGTGAAAGCAGCTTAACAGTGTTTCTGTCTGCACCAAGACCAGGATAATATAAGTATTCATACCTATTCAGCCCACACAAGATAAAGGTAAAGATGGAAAAACAGAGAGTAATCTCGAATGAAAACTCTCAGGCTGAGGGGAAGATTTACATTTCCCCAAAGCAGTCAGAAAAACACAGAAGTAGTTTTGTGTGCCGGAAGCATCTTGTGCATCTCTGCTCAAAAACTCACTGAGCTGCCTGGCAAAGCTTGGACAATTCTCCCAAAAAGGAAAGCAGGAACCTCCAAAACGTTGTGCCAAATTTGTAGAATTGTTCAAAGAAGGCTTCAGTTTTTACCGCATGTTGGGAGGGTCTCGATATATGTGAAGGCCTGAAAATAAAAAACTAGTCCCAGTGAAACCGTTGGGACAGTGATGACCTCTGCCTGCTAATGTTTCTGGGTGTTTTGGCTTTATGATGTGCAGCATCAGCACAGTGCAGACAGTGTGTACACATAAAGTCTTTCCTTATCTGGAGAGACAATGTGAGAGAGCTTACGAAACTCTGGGGGAGTAGAGTTTTCTTTGATATCAAGTGAAATTAGTAAAAAAACTAATAAATGTATCAATATTTCATACTATTCACCTCAATGATTCTTACACAAGGGCAAATCTGATCTCCTGATGAATTCAATGACAAACTGCTTTATCCAAGTACTAATGGGAGGGTATGAGTACTCTCTTAGTCTTTTATGAAGTTTAGATGAAATAATTGTAAAAGCTGAATCAAGCATCAAATGAGTCTGAAACATAGCAACATGTGAAAAAACCTACAAACCTTCCAAATGCAGTAAATCAGCCAAACAAATCAGCAAACATTCACATGTCACAGCCAGAAACAGTTTTTCTTTTAGCACTTGCTCTTTAAAAATACTTCAGCTTGTAAATGGCAGCAATTAATCAAGGATAAAACATTTACTTAATCAAATAATTGATTAATCAGCTATTCATCTTAGCTTTAGTGATGACTGAATCATATTTATCTGCTTCCGTTTGTGTTGCTGCTGTAACACTGTCACACTTTGATGGCTCGCTGAGACACTTTCTTACTGAGATTTTCGGGGCTTCTGACGAGTCTGCTGTGAAAAAAGGCAATGAGGTGTTTGTAATAACTTCTTTTGTTGCCGCCTCTGCTGCCTTTCATCCAGTACTTTTTCTGAGCCACACAGACGAGGGCTAATATTTGTTGGGAAAATCTACAACACACTTTATGATCACAGAAAGGATCAGCATTTTGTTCAGCAGGCATGGTCTGATGTGGAGTTTGTACTGTTACATACCGAAGAAAGCGGTTCAGGTCTCCGTGCCTCATGTATTCAAACACCATGGCCAGCGGCTCTCCGTCGGTACAGACGCCGTAGAACCGCACAATGTGCTGGTGTTGGAGCACCGTCAGCAGCTCCGCCTCCCGCTGGAAGTCCTGCCGGGTGGACTCATTTGCGTCCTTCAGAGTCTGTGAATACGTGCAGATTGTACTTTTCCAATAACACTAGAAGCTATATTGTAGTAAACAATTGACCAGGCACTCAGCTGCAGCTCTGGTCCTTATTTACTGCTTTTTTGGGGGGTCAAAAATGAACAACACTGTATTCAAATTCAGTCTTCTTTACTGTGATGTTACAGCTGCCTCCTTATCACACAGCTAAGGAAATAATATTAGTTACTTACTTATGTGACAAACAACTGAATGTATTCATTTGCTATGACATAATAATGAGGCTTTACTTAAATGTAATTATTATTGTTTTTATTTTTGTTTGTAAATTATTTTATAAAGACAATATGACAATACAACAACACTCTCTCGCTCTTTCCCCCCCTCTCTCTCTACACATATATATGTAGAGAGAGAGAGAGAGAATATGAAGACCTAATATTTTGAAAATTTGTGAAACTGTCGTGTGATATAATTTTGGCACCAAAATCTCTGAAGGAAAAATGTGAAAAAAAGATGAGGATGTTCAGTCTGTCTGGCATTATAAAAATGCATTTTTAGATTTAATTTTTAACTTATTGAACTGTAATAAATATCTGAATAATACTTCTGCACATAAAGAAAAATAAGTAAATGTCGGGTTGAGAGAGTAAAACGTTAACTCATTATTTAAAATGACCCCTTTATGGTTTTCCTCATTTTTTGGTCAAACATATCAGACTTGAGGCAGTTTTTTCTGTTCTTGGCTCTGTGTGATGTCATGAGTGGATCCCTCAGACCAGCAGCTCCGGCTGTGAGCAGAGCAGCTGATCTGATATTTTGTTTGCAAGGAGCAAAAAACAAAGAAAGTAAAGTTAATGTTCCCAGACATATGTTAGTTTTGCTATTCTTGTTGGCTAAAGTCGTCTCTGCTTCTGTCATTCCGACACCTGCCACAGCCTGTCAGGGACTGCGTTTGAGCTTTTAGACAGGGGTAAAGAAAAGCATTAAAAAAGAATAAATAAATAAAAAGCAGAGTGTTGGATTTATAGCAAAACACACAAATACAAATGACTTTGAACTGTGACAGTTAGTGTCACAGTTCAAAGCTAGTGCAGGTGAAAAATAAAAATGTAAATTTTTCCTTTTAAAATTTCAAAAGTTCCAAAATCAACAGACAGTGTGGAGCATAAAAGGAGACTGTGTGGTTCATACATTTTAAAAACAGTTTCATTCTTTGTCTGGGCCTTGACTTTCCCTCCTCAGCTCATTGACGATGTGTTATAAAAGCATACGTCTGATTAATGGGATGATAAATCTGAGCTGAGCCATATAATCGCGTTTTTTAATCCGCTGCGGTTTGCATTAACCTGTTGTAACATGAGCCGCGTAGTACATCAGCTGACTGTTCTTAAACAAAAACAACTCTCTGAAACCACAGGATGTAATTTCAGCATGTGAGTATTAACTGTAAGTGCCCTGTAGCGTCATGTTTGTTAGTGCTGAAAGCCTTAATGAGGACTTTAGGGTTTTTGTTTTTTTTAACATAGCGTAGGATAAAAAGCAGACTGACTCTCAGATATTGTCCTAAAGTCTCAAACTGCAAACCAGTGATATGAGAACAGTGAATTTTACCGTTTGCATAGAAAAAAAAAGGAACTTGATGTTTCGCTCAATTGTATTAAATAAGCTAGTCATGTGTAAAAGCACCAGGATGAGGTTTAAAAGCCAAATGCTGCAGTAATAATCTTTTTTGTGCGTTGTAGTTTTGTCAATCACTTCAACATGCTCTGCTCTGCTGCTCAGACCTCATGCTAACTGCTGACATTTTCACTACCGATGCCAATGAACAAAGCCGGATTAATGGTTAAATTACCTTTTAAAAACGGCGGAGAGGATTTTTTTTTTTTTTGGCAGCTACTCACCTTGATGGCTACGAGCATCTTGTCGTTGTCGGGGCTGAGGTTTGCACACTCTGCCAGGTAGACTTTGCCAAACGCTCCTTCCCCCAGCTCCCACTTCAAAACAATATCCTGCCTTTTAATATGCTGGACACCTGAGATCATAAAAACACAAATGACTTAAAAGAATTCTGGGGAAAGATTATCCACCTCAAGCATATCATACAATATTTTCATAAATCCTCCTTTTTTGAGAGACAGGATGAAATTTAAATGCAATTTGTAATAATCCGAAATCCTGAAAACTTTCACAAAGACATTTTAAGTCTGAGTAAACCACAAAGCCCTTTGTTAGTCTCAACATTGTCTGACACCAAATAATCCAGCATAATCACCAGGAAAATTAAGGCTCGCTGGTGCAGCCGATGGAAGGCAGTGAAATAAATGTAGAAGGGTGAGAGTGGCAGAAACTGAAAGCAAAACAAAGTAGAGAGCATGCACTCGAAAGAGAAGTGACACTGAGTTAGATTTATTTCAGAATCTGCACAATTCTGTCAGGTGTGTTAAAATGAAAAGTGGTCCGTGTCTTTGGGTTGGTAGTGGAGGGACTCCATTAAACTATAATGCAGATAGTGTGACGTATCCACCAGCTGGTTTTTACCAAGCCTGGTCTTAACTTCAAAGTTGGCCTTTGTTAAGACTGGTCTTTAAATTGGACTTCACATAAGCCCCTCGAACAAATTTAAGCCCGGTCTGAACTACAGCCAGTCTTAGCAATGTACAATCACGTCAATGCAAAATACACATGGTGTGATTTTGGAATTTCATTTTCAAAACTGCATAAATGCACAAACAACACAAACAACTCGCCTCCTCAGACGTACACATATTTGAGATCATTGACAGAATGCAGTGGCTGCTGTCCAGACATTAAAGGGTTAAGCTTAAAGGCGAAACTGCTGTAGCTACTCATGTCGTACGTTACTGCCTTTAAGTACAAGACGTGTTTAGAGCCAAACGGTATCCAGAGAATTGTAGGTCAGGCTAAGCAATCAAACAAAAGTGGTTATCAACTCAATAGGTCAACCCAGAGTTTCCCAACATGTGAGTTCACATGAAAGGGTTGGTGTTGGAAGCATCGCACCAGTGTGACTGATGGACTGGAAGCAGAGCAGCAGATTTTAAAAAGAAAGATAAAACTATGATATTAAAAATAAACAAAGAAGAGTCGTGGTGATCTTTAAGGGTCTAAAAGTAAGAATAATTACATAATTTCCTTAAGGAATGAATAAATAAAAACAGATTTAAATTTTTTTAGATATGTAATATCTATTGAACATAACCTGCTCTGGACTAAGTTATATTCAGGCCTATATATATATATATATATATATATATATATATATATATGAGCGAGACAGATAAATATGAAGGCATGCCGGCTCGGACGTCGCCCGGATCAACAAGGTCCGCGTCAGGTGTTGAGGAACCAGGGCACCCTGACGAAAGTGGGCTACTGGAACAAGAAGGCATCGGTGGGCAAGAGACGAAAACAGGGCATTGTTGGAATGCTACTACGCAAGTAACCCTGGCGGAAGGGGCTACATGAATAGGATGAGGGACCTATGGATTCTTCGATACCCAACATCCACAATGACGGCGAAACAACTAGTAGCTCAGTGTTCCAACATTCGAAAGAAGGGACTGCTCTCACAGCTAGAGATTGACGAGGTACAACACAAATGCTACGGCAAGGAGGAGTCAGGACGCCAGGTCAGGGGGAGATATCATCACCCGAGATTGGGTACATAGCCCCAAGTGCGATAGGAGAAGGATCGTTGAGTGCGAGAGGAACTGACCTGAAAAATAGGATCATGGCCAAGCTTGAAACCTGGATCCCCCGTAGCCGGTTACCAAGATTACGTGAAGTACCCTCAGAAGGTCTGCTAGATGATGTTAATGCAGCACTACAGGCAATACCTACAACCACGATTACCGACACTAACAAGCTGATCTACAATACGGCAGCAGTGATCAGTGAGATGCTTGGCTACAAGTTGAACAGCGACAAGGGGCAGTACCCTCCATGGAGAAGGAGGCTAGAGGGCAAGATCAAAGTAGCACGGAGGGAGGTTAGCCAACTAACGGAGTTGCAGAAAGGTGCGACAAATAAGGTGCCTAAGAAATACAGCAAGCTGTCCATACCTGAGGCCTTGGAAACTGCCAAGCAAAGACTCACAGCCTTGGCCAGCCGCTTGAGGAGGTACACCAGAGAGATAGAAGGCAGGAGAATAAACCAGCTGTTCTCCACAGAACCAGCAAAGGTGTACTCTCAGTGGCAAGGGAACAATAAGAGAACAGCACCACCAAGGCTGGAGACGGAGCAATACTGGAAGAGCATATGGGAGAAGGATGCAACCCATAACGGCAATGCTCAGTGGCTAGAGGATCTGAGGGCAGACCACAGCGACCTCCCTGAACAGGGTCCAGTAACCATCACAGTGGCAGATATCCAAGAAAGGGTCTCCAGTATGAAGAGTTGGACAGCACCAGGGCCCGACATGGTTCACGCCTACTGGCTAAAGAAGCTGACTGCACTCCACGAGCGTCTGGCAGCACAAATGAACCAGCTGCTAGTTAACGAGAGACACCCGGAATGGCTAACTGAAGGCCGGACGGTCCTGATCCCCAAGGACCCCAAGAAGGGACCGGTCCCCTCCAACTACCGACCAATAACCTGCCTCAGTACTACATGGAAGCTCCTGTCAGGCATCATATCGGCTAAGATGAACAGGCACATGGGTCAATACATGAGCGGGACACAGAAAGGAATTGGCAAGAATACCAGAGGCGCAAAACACCAGCTACTGGTAGACAGAACAATCAGCCGAGACTGCAAGACCAGACTGACCAACCTGTGCACTGCCTGGATTGATTACAAGAAGGCCTATGACTCAATGCCCCACAGCTGGATACTGGAATGCCTAGAATTGTACAAGATCAATGGGACCCTAAGAGCCTTCATCAGGAACTCAATGGGGATGTGGCGTACAACACTAGAGGCCAACTCCAAGCCCATAGCACAAGTCACCATCAAGTGCGGGATCTACCAAGGAGATGCTCTGTCCCCACTGCTGTTCTGCATAGGCCTGAACCCCCTCAGTGAGATCATTAACAAGACTGGCTACGGATACCGACTACGGAACGGAGCAGTTGTCAGCCACCTCCTGTACATGGATGACATCAAGCTGTATGCCAAGAGTGAACGAGACATCGATTCACTGATCCACACTACCAGTCTATACAGCAATGACATTGGAATGTCGTTCGGACTGGAGAAGTGTAGTCGGATGGTAACAAAGAGAGGGAAGGTAGTCAGAACTGAGGGGATTGAACTACCAGAAGGCAACATTGCAGACATAGAGGACAGTTACAAGTACTTGGGGATCCCACAGGCGAATGGGAACCATGAAGAGGCCGCTAGAAAAGCTGCAACCACCAAGTACCTGCAGAGGGTCAGGCAAGTCCTGAGGAGTCAGCTGAATGGTAAGAACAAGATCCGGGCCATCAACACGTACGCCCTGCCCGTGATCAGGTACCCTGCTGGGGTAATAGGCTGGCCAAAGGAGGAGATAGAAGCCACTGACATAAAGACAAGAAAGCTCCTTACCATGCATGGAGGGTTTCACCCCAAATCCAGCACCCTGAGGCTGTACGCTAAGCGGAAGGAAGGGGGCCGGGGACTGGTGAGTGTCAGCACCACAGTCCAGGATGAGACAACGAACATCCAAGAATACATTGGGAAGATGGCCCCAACTGACCGAGTGCTCAGTGAATACCTCAGGCAGCAGAAACCCAAGAAAGAGGAGGGAGACGAGGAACCATCATGGAAGGACAGGCCCCTGCACGGTATGTACCACCGGCAGATAGAGGAGGTGGCTGATATCCAGAAATCCTACCAGTGGCTGGACAAAGCTGGACTGAAAGACAGCACAGAAGCACTAATCATGGCAGCACAAGAACAAGCTCTGAGCACAAGATCCATAGAGGCTGGGGTCTATCACACCAGGCAAGACCCCAGGTGCAGGCTGTGTAAAGATGCCCCAGAGACAATCCAGCACATAACAGCAGGGTGCAAGATGCTAGCAGGCAAGGCATACATGGAACGCCATAACCAAGTGGCCGGCATAGTGTACAGGAACATCTGTGCCGAGTATAACCTGGAAGTCCCGAGGTCAAAATGGGAGATGCCCCCAAGGGTGGTGGAGAATGACCGAGCTAAGATCCTGTGGGACTTCCAGATACAGACGGACAAAATGGTGGTGGCTAACCAACCGGACATAGTGGTGGTAGACAAACAGAAGAAGACGGCTGTAGTGATCGATGTAGCGGTTCCGAATGACAGCAATATCAGGAAGAAGGAACACGAGAAGCTGGAGAAATACCAAGGGCTCAGAGAAGAGCTCGAGAGGATGTGGAGGGTGAAGGTAACGGTGGTCCCCGTGGTAATCGGAGCACTAGGTGCGGTGACTCCCAAGCTAGGCGAGTGGCTCCAGCAGATCCCGGGAACAACATCGGAGATCTCTGTCCAGAAGAGCGCAGTCCTGGGAACAGCTAAGATACTGCGCAGGACCCTCAAGCTCCCAGGCCTCTGGTAGAGGACCCGAGCTTGAAGGATAAACCGCCCGCAGGGGCGTGCTGGGTGTTATATATATATATATATATATATATATATATATATATATATATATATATGTATGGGGTGCTGGAGAATATATATACGGACATGGACAAAATGGTGGTGGCTAACCAACCACACATAGTGGTGGTAGACTAACAAAGGAAGACGGCCGTAGTGATCGACGTAGCCGTTCCCAGTGACTGCAACATCATAAACAAGGAACATGAGAAGCTCGTGCATGTATTTTTTTAGTCTTATGTTGGTTATGATGTTCTTAAAAAATATCTAATATAAAATATGATTCATCAGAAAAAAGCCTCTATGTCCTGCTCGCAGTAAAACTACACTTCAACAATTCTGTTTACTTTTCTGTGACATTCAAATAAAACATTACAGAAGTTCATCAGCAAGCACTCACACATGTCTTTGTCTTTGATTATGCTGCAGAAGTACTGTGGATTCTCTACGAAGCTAGACAAGCCAGAGTCTTCATCGGAGGAAGGCGGGCTGGTACCAAAGTTCATGAAGCGCAGTGACACGGCCAGGTCATCCTCCTTCCCCAGAACTGATGATCCTAATGAAACGGAGCAAAGCCAATAAAAATGAGAGAAATGAGACCTAATCAGTCTCCAACCATCTGTGATTGCAGCAGCCATCAAAAGAAGCAATTCAGAACCCATTTTTCCTTTCGAGGAACTGGCATTCACTATTACTAACTTGGATGCACATTTGTTGGTACCATGGTGACAGATGATGACAAGCTCTAATAATCACCATCATCAACCATGCAGCAATCAGGGCACACTGAAGTGAAAAAAATATGACCATACAGGAAGCCTGGGCGGTTAGCAACTCCCGACCATAGTGCGTATTAAAAGCCAAACAAGTGGGGTCCAAATTGTAAAACCTCACTTAGGAAGGCAAACCACAGAACCCCCAGAGTCCAACATGGTAGAAAATGGAACAACAATAAGAGAGCACAGAAGCGATGGAAGGAAGGAAAGAGGGAGCAGGGTCCACTTAGGCAATCAGGGCCACTTAGGCACTCTGAGAGTGAGAAGGGTGTGTGTGTGTGTGTGTGTGTGTGTGTGTGTGTGTGTGTGTGTGTGTGTGTGTGTGTGTGTGTGTGTGTGTGTGTGTTCCTGCATTCATCCATCCAGCCATCCATCCAGCCATCCCCTTTAATGGCCCTCACCCCGTGGCGGTGGCCAGGGGAGGTTTCTGCCGCCGTTCTCGTGCAATAATTAAGGCACTTTAGCCGACACAGTGGCTGCCTGCGAGCAAAGTTACAGCTCAGTGGAAATCCTATATTAGTCCGTCTCTCCTGTGCATTACCTTTTAAGAGACTGACAGAACCATCTGTGATTTGAAACAGTTACTTGGCAGAACATTTGACTTATTCCATATACATTCTTCAGAGGCGCGCATAGAAAAATCATGTAAAGCCTTAGATTCCGTTCACTCTAATACATCTATATTACTTTTAAAAATCTTCACAATTTTCTCCCGTTACAACTGAACAAAGTGTTTGGTTGGGGATCCAGGTGTGTTTTGATGGAAGCAATGAATGCAATCTTCATAGATGCAAATATATATATAAAACAGAGCTACTGTTGTCCATTATAGAAAAACCATGTGATTAAAGCCTGTGCTTCATGTGACCACAATCCGTTTGTGTAATGTTTGTGGTCACTTTTTCTTGATGGATGTCTGACAGCATGCCAACAAGGCATAAACCTACCTCCTTCCATAATTCATTTATTTTCTAGCACGTCAGTGTTTTCCTACCAAAGCTTTTACTTTCATTTCTCCCTTCGACTCTAAAAGTTCGAGTATGAAAACATGTTTCTGCAATAAGTAAAAAAAAACATAATAACCTTTTAGCACATTGTTACTGAAAGAAATACAAGTCTTGCAACACATCTGGGAAAAGTTTTCAACCTTTAGAAACCAAATTATAGGTGACTGAAGTGGCAGGAAGGAGTCTAATTCTGAGCGGAAATGAATATCACTGACTTGTCATAAGGCACATGTGTAAGTCTGCCGCTAACCTCAGGCAGATGAGCGGCAGGCAGCTGCAGAGGTGCAGCTCACTCAGTCCTCTCAAACTCCTTTTAATACAAAAGTTGTCCCAGTCATATCATTTATTGACATTTGTCATTCATGCGCGATACAGTCACAATAGGTGAGAAGCCTGATATCGCTCTTATATCCTGGGGTTAGATGCCCAGTTTCTCGGGCAGGTTAGGGAATAACTAAAACCATAACTAGTCCTTTTTCACCTTTCTCCAGTCACGATGAAGCAACAGACTTAATATACAATAAGTAGTGAACATTAAAAGCCCCATTAAGTTATTTTTTTAAATCTTTTGACAGAGCTAAGATTCTTATTATGGAAATAGCCGTTAGACTAATTAGAGCTAATTACTGTCTGTGACTGCAGTTCCAATTAAAAGACGAGTGTCATCAGGCTTCTCCTTTAACTTTCGTGCCTAATTTCAAGCTTGCAGTCAAACTTAAATAACTTACTGTGAATTCCAAACTTGGAATGATGGCCACATTTGTAGACAACCAAAACCATGATGAGCAGAAGTTTGCAAGCAAACACACCGAGACCCACGGCCACATACACCTGTCAAACAAACATTGTATTTTCAGTCACTAACACTCATTAGCTGCTGCTTTTGCATTGGGATTGAGAAGCGTTGGCACAGACGCACCAAATACATCCGACTCTCCGGGTTTTCTGTGACGTCCATGTCTGATTTGTTTGTAGGACCTGCGGGGCAGGAGTGAGAGCAACAAATAAAATGACACGTAGATCTCCATTCAGTGTTCAAAGGACATGCTGAGATATTTTATAGACTCAAAATCAACTGAACACTTACTTTGACCCACGACGTCTTGCATGTGGGAAAAGCACAAAACACATTTATGAGCAAACAGCACAGAGTACCATGATGCAACATGCGCTTCTCATGGTGCATTCACTCTGTTTAGTTTGGCTATTTCTACATATCAAGCACTGAATCACAATGCAGTAAGGTCGACACCTTTCAGTTCACGACATAGAAAGAATCCCCAGAACTAGTGTGACGATCAATTAGTTTTAAGTGACACTTACATTATTGTCTCTGTCAGATATCTAATGTGCTCCCTCTTCACTCCTCATCACTTTAACACTGAAGGGCAATAACACACCTTGAGCACTGCTATGAATTCCCGGCACATAACTTGGTACTATCATCGTACAGTTTATATAATTCACTCACACTTAAGTCCAGATGATACCTTTGCTCTTTATCAACACTTCATATCATTTTCTCCATTCTGTTTTCATTAAGCTCTTCATTTGTTGCATTGTTAGTTATGTATATATATATTTTTTCTCTATCTATATAGATATAGATATAGATATAGATATAAAGACTATAAAGTCGCTTCCGCTTATCCTTTTCAGGGTCGCGGGGGCGCTGGAGCCTATCCCAGCTGTGTGGAGTTTGCATGTTCTCCCCATGTTTGCGTGGGTTCCCTCCGGGTACTCTGGCTTCCTCCCACCGTCCAAAGACATGCAACTTGTGGGGATAGGTTAATTGGATAATCCAAATTGCCACTAGGTGTGAATGTGCGAGTGAATGTGAGTGCGAATGGTTGTCTGTCCCTATGTGTTAGCCCTGCGACAGACTGGCGACCTGTCCAGGGTGTACCCTGCCTCTCGCCCTATGACAGCTGGGAGCCGCGACCCTGAAAAGGATAAGCGGTAGCGAATGGATGGATGGTTGGATTATTTCTATTATTATTTCTTATATATTATATATTTTCATCACCCTCCTGTGAATGCAATGTTGCGTTCTCCATTTGGATTTGACGTCTCACATTCAGCGTATGAAATGCCACCGGCCTCGTGGCTGTCGCTCAACTGTGATCTGTGCAGCTGATGCTGATAATCATAGTAAAGACGTAGGTAGATGTAGATTTTTGCACATGTAAGCTTCCTGGGGCTTCCATGTGTAGTTTGTGGTGATTCTATACAGTTTTCTATGTCCCAGCGACCAACCGTCCAAATAACTGACTGAAGGCTTTTCCAGTATGGTTGCCAGTGGACTTTCCTCCAACCTTGTTGTTAAACCCCATCAACGGGCAGCCAAGACACAATATAAAAGGCATCCATCTCCCTTGCCCTCAGCAGCCACAAGAACCACAGATAATATATGTTGTATTTATTGATCACAGAGCCACAAAAGCGGGAGTTTAAATTAATGTCAGGGTAGGCCAAGGCCAAAACAATAAATTAAATGATAGCAGGTTACCTCCATAAATAACATAACTGCTCAAAATAAAAGGCATGCCCTTCTTCTTCCTTCAAACTTAAACCAAAGACACAAAGCTGCATATGTGACAGGTTGGCACCAGGAAAGAGTAGATGCCTCCTCTCTAGATGATGGTGGTCATCTTGGTTCCCTATCTAGGAATCAGGCTGGTAATCAGTGGTTTCCACTGCAGTGCACGGGCACATACGCTGTTCACTTGATTGATTTTTAAAGTGACTTATAATGCAAAGAAAACCTGGAGATGAATTAAAGATATTTATTCTACACGTGATGATTAAGATGTCTGCAAATTCTTTCATCTCTGGTAGGTAATGGATTTAATGTGATTTCCATAGGGAAACCCAGCAGCTATAGTTGATATTACAGGATGATGAACAACTTCTAATGACTTTAATTAATAACATTTAAGTGATTACAAAGATAGCAGAATTAGAACCTTTTACAATTTTGGTATAATATCAGCAAACTTTTAAAGTAGCATTTATCATTAATAAAACATATAATTCTACACATCCAGGTTTTATGTCCCGGCTCATTTGGATAAGGCCTCAAAATAACTGGCCAAATAATGTGCTCAGAGTTGGCTTTCAAGATGTTTCAAGATGGCGCCAAGTGAGACATGACTCTAGGAGATAATTAGTAATCAGTGAGTAGTTTAGTTTAGAGTAGCAAAACAGGAACTCACATGGAATTACCCCCTCAAAATTGTCAAAGGGGTTGTGCATGAAAAACCCAAGTGCGGTGGCCTCATCTCTTCCCAGTTTGTTCTCCACAATCAGAGTGTAGTTGCCATTGTTGACGTGGGTTGGCTTGTCAAGGAAGAGACATCCGTGCTTCTCCGATCCATCGCCTGAATCTACGATGGGCTGCGTGTATATGTATCTGGTCTCGTTTAATTTCTTGCCGTTGTAAAGCCAGGTGATGTTCGGTTCGGGATTGCCGTCCACGGCAAACGGAAAACACCAGTGGTGCTGCGGCACAGCATTATTCAGGAAGATTATTCTGACTGGAACTGCGAGGAGACACAGAGTTTTGAGTTGTGAAGTAGCAGAGCACAGACATAAATGAGTTTCTAAAGAAAAGATGAGCTCAAAAACTGTCTATGGTGTCCTGGTGATTTGATTTAATGTATTTTTAGATGGAAAAAAATCAACTGAGAAAGTAAAAAAGGTAGTCTGGGAAATAAATCTTTGGCAAGAGTTCAATGAGAATATTGACTCAATCCTCATGTTTGTGTAGTGCAGACAGTTAGCTTAGCTCAGTTCTACTGCATCTGACTAGTTGGTTCCACCTGTTTCCAGTCTTTCAGCTAAGCACTTAATATTATATACAACATAGTCATAATATAATATAATACATCTATAAAGACTCTGTGGTTTTGCGTCTGACTTAAAACACTCAGTCATAGGCAAAACAATCAATCAGAGAAAGATTAACCAATGAAATTACCTCATTGGGAACTTCTCTGGATGAAAGTCAGGAAGTCAGATTTTGTAGGCTACAGCTCACTTAAATTATGACCCAAATTAACATTTTACTGACAAGTTTAAGGTCTCAATCATTTGTTTCAAGTCTTATTATTGCAACCAACATATCAATCAAAGTTATCAAAGCCAACCCTGACTTAAAAAATAACAAGACACTCGACCTGTGGTCATGTCCATCTTTTGTATACAGTCTATGCTTGCAACTTTGCCCATACTAAAAAAGTTCTCCCACGAAATACACATAGATACACTTACAGTCAAATAATAATTATATATGCTCAGCGCTGATTTTATGCTGAATGTGCATTTTACTCACACATAACAAAGCAGGTCAGTACTCTATAGGTTGCCTCTGAGTTTCCAAGAATCAATGCTCTCCATCTGCACTGCAAACCTGCGCTGACCTGCTATGAATAATGAAATCCTGGTCGTTGTCGTGCCCCTGACCACAAATGCTACCTGGAAGCTCTTCTGGACGTGAAGTTACAGGAAATGGCTTTGTTTAGATCGAACACAACTCTCGACTGCAGAAACCCCTGATGTGCACGAGTCATTCTGCTGCTCTTAACCCGTGACCCAACCCCAGAAAGTGCTGCGCTAAGGAGATACCAAGGCATTCGTCTCTTTACCGAGGGCTCGCTAAAGTCTGTTACACCGAGTGAAAATTAGTGCTATTTATCACATTTAACTAATCATCCATTAGCGACCTCTGCTAATCTTACACAAGCAATTTCACTGCAGGGGTGAAAAGGAAGGCTAGAATTATGTTTAATGAGCCTGCCAGTTCTCAGACTTCATTGCAGAATTATACAATGAACATTGTGAAACATGGCAAACACAATAAATGATTTCTGGCCCCAGTCCAGGTAGAGTCGGTGCTAACTGGATGCTTTGCAGGCAAGACACCATCTTTTGGGACAGTAGATGTTGACAAAAATGATGATTTGCTTTCACCTTTTCAGACTTAAAGTTAAAAAAAAAGCACAATTTAGAAAAGCTCTTTTATATGAAAGGGAAGCCACACGAGTACCATGAATCAATGGCACAGAGAGCCACTCAGCAGTAAACACCCACTGTTCTGGGAGGTAATTAAGAATAATTAAAGGGCTAGCGGTTAACGAGTGTCCGTCCACCAGGGGGGCCGATGTTGATAGATTAGCTGCACTAACGCATTTACAGACTGCCAATCACTGCGGATGAAGCGGTTTTCCGGTGTAGGAGGGAAAAGTCCATTAGCACAGGCTCAAATCAGATCTTAGCACGGGTTATCAGCCTCATTTTCCTGATGCTCATTATCTGTCCCTTGATGCTTGTGCATTTGGCCTCAGCTGATTGGCGCCCCTGCTCTTTTTGGCTTTATTTTCTAATGAGTGTCACTGAGTTGGTGATATATGATATTGTTTGGGTAGTATTGTCAGTAATGTATCACTAATGCATCTGACTCTGTCTTCAGTGGGACCGCTGGGTGCTGTCATTCCTCATTGTTCAACTTCCAGATGCACTAATGCATCCGAAAGGAGAAAACAACAGTAAACCTCCAGGGTCAAGCTGCAAGTGTAATTTAAAAGTACATGAGGTGAAGGAGTTCTTTAAGAGCAAGGTGAGGTGAGTTCACTTTCTTTTGTCCTCTCATTGTATCCCTGCATTAAAAAGCAAGCCATACCCGCTGCACTTCACTTATACTATTTTAACACTACTCACCAGTCGGCAGAGTGAGTGGCAGGTGACAGAGAGCTCCATTAGAAGCATGGTGGGTACATAGTCGTATTTGTAGAAGGGGCATTTAGAAGAAATCAGTGCAGTGCGTTTTTCCCTTTCTCTGGCTGTCCACCCTGCCTGCACTAGAAAATGGCCCCAGTGTGCTCTCGCCCTAACCTCCATTAAGCCCGACGATTTGTATTGAGCCTGTGAGCTTTCAAGAGCTCGGTTTTATTTTGCAGGCACTTACACTCAATGTCCAATTGCACCATCCTCTCCCCTGGCCCAGCTTGGTTCTCGGCCTCGCAAGTCAGGTTGTGTAGGTTGTCCTTGGAGGAAACGTTGGTGAGGTAAAGGACCAGCTCCAGCGCAGAGTCTCTGCTCTCCTGCAGCTACCGCCGGCACACACAGACAAGGTGTTTAACTACAAATACATCGCTTGGAGGTATACGTGTTACAACGATGAAATGAGACCCAATTTACTCTAGTACGGATCAATAGATTAGAGAGCCGCATTTGAAGGTGATTTATGTCACTTTAGGCTCAATGTAGCTGATCTAAAGAGCTTTACAGCAGATCAGAAATGGAACCACAATGTAAAAACCCTGACTACAATGATACAGCAATTACCTCAAGGTAGACCGTACAGAGAAAAACCCAACAATCAGATGACCCCCTATGAGCAAGCACTTTGGCAACAGTGGGAAGGATAAACTCCCTTTTAACAGGAAGAAACCTCTGGCAGAACCAGGCTCAGGGAGGGGCGGGGCCATCTGTCGCATCTGGTTGGGGAGAGAGACTAAATTTAAAAATTTCTTTTTAAATTTAATAAAAAAAACTAATAGAAAGTCAATTTTCATAACACAGAGCTCTGATCTGAGCATCATCCAGTCCATCGGGGATCATAGGAAGAGGAAAAACTATGACATCTTAAAAAAACAAAGAAAAACTAATTTTGTATTTGTTGAGCACATGCTGAAAATTCTCAGCTACCTTGGTAAAAAAGTGAGAGTGGAGGGCCTCGGTCTGCCATCTCACGGTGAGAGTGGGACTTCCTTCCACCTCACATACGAATGTAAGGTTGCCTCCTTCCAGAATCTTATCCTGTGAGGCGGTAATCTTCACCTCAGGCAGGCCTGAGAGTGCAGGACAGACAGCATGAGAGCACATAGCAATAAACACAGGTTGCTGTTGTGATGGTGCAACTAAGTATAGAGTTGAACTCCTCCTCTTTTTTTTCAAAGCTCTTTAGAAAAACAGCACAGGGACAAAATCTCTCATATGTTTCCTGGCAACAAGAAGTTCCTGCTGTATGTGATTAGAGCAACAATGTTGAGCCAATTTCTTCCCCACATTTTGGTGTACCTGCTTTTTTGCAGCCTTTTATATCCTGAATAGGAACAAAAACATATTATTTTTCAAGACAATTTGAAGTAGATGCATTATTTCAAATACTGCTTACAAAACATGATTAAAAAATTATATAGCACTTTTCGGGGCCCTCAAAGCGCTGTACAATTCCACTATTCATTCACTCTCACATTCACACACTGGTGGAGGCAGCTACAGTTGTAGCCACAGCTGCCCTGGGGCAGGCTGACAGAAGCGAGGCTGTAATATCGCGCCATCGGCCCCTCTGGCCATCACCAGTAGGCGGTAGGTGAAGTGTCTTGCCCAAGGACACAACGACCGAGACTGTCCAAGCCGGGGCTCGAACCGGCAACTTTCCGGTTACAAGATGAACTGCCAACTCTTTGAGCCATGATCGCCCCGATCTGATGAACTTTACAAAATAAATCTCCACCACATGTGGTTTAACAAATACAAATGAAACAAGTTCTTACATTTTCAACTTCTGCCCTAAAGAAAAATCCACAAGTCGTGTTACAGGCTGCGCATTTCCAGCTCTGCAACTTTTAAGGGGCTCCACTTGAGCCTCGCGTTATTCACATATTTAAAACATGCTTTTTATCTTGTGTCATTTTCACACATGAATTGTGGAGAATTTCTGAAGAATCAGGTTGGAGAAGAGTTGACCTTTCTCACATGTAGTCCACAGGAGAGACGCTCTCTAAGAAACATTCTCACTTCTCAGAAATACTGGATTAGGCAAAGGTGCTTCTTACCCGCTCTAAAAGGCTACCCTATTATACTGGCACAATGAGACAGTACACTTTTACTAGTAAGCGTGCAGTTAAAGACTGTTTTATGTGTGATCTTACTCTGTTGGCTCTCACATACAGCACATCTCGACTGGTGTTCAACCTCATAAAAAGTCCAATTTCTTCTGACTGGCTGCTCCTCGCCTGGCTTCCTCCTCATCTCACACACAGCACAAGAAGCAAAATTTGGGGCTCAAGTGCCAAGAAGTGCAGTTCCTCGAGTGGCCACTTGAGACTGGCTCCAAAATCTAGACCATAGGTGTCAAACTCTGGCCCGCGGGCCAAATTTGGCCCGCAGACTAATTACATTTGGCCCGCGAAGCCATACCAAATTACTATTAGAGCTGGCCTACTGGTATTATACAGCTAATATATATATTGTTTAGTATTAAGTTTTGCTTGTTCGATATTCAGTTTTTCAGCAAAACGTGTTTGAGTCCATAAGAAAAGATTCATTCTTATATCTGGAGGAATAAATATATTACAATAAATATTAACGTTAGCCTGCGACTTTGTTCCAGTTTTGAATTTTGGCCCACTGTGTATTTGAGTTTGACACCCCTGATCTAGACGATCACTATAGACTCCCATAGTTAGAAACCCCAAATCATAGCACTAATAAAGATTTTTAGGCAAACCACAAACAGTTATTTAAGTCTACATTTTTAATAACTGACCCATTTGACTAAGTAGAGGCTTACCTTTATCAGCCTGAGTGCTCTGATTCTCACAGGCAGTCTTATGCTCTACTTATTTATGTAATTACCAATGAATAGTGACTGGTAATAGTGATGTACAGACTATCCAATAAGATTAGGATTAAGGGTCTATATTTGTCATGGTAGTAAGGTGACTCCCAACCTCCCAACTGGGAAGGAATAAAAGTAGCTTTTTAAAAAGGATATAAAACATAAATACATGCAAGCATCTCCTTGTTTTTATGGCAGCGAGTCTGATTTTTTAAGCTTGTGTTTCAGCTTTATTGAAATAAGTCTTAATAGTTACTGTTACTTAGCAGGACTGTGTAGCTGTGCAATGTGCTCATAAAGTCTATATAACTTCATCCTCTTGTGCAAATATGGTGACTTGTGACGGCCATAAAGTTAAGTGGATGCTTCAAAATGCAGAGTTTAGAAGCCACTGGGTGACATCACTGTGGCTAAGTCCATCTTTTATTTAAAATCTATGGCAGAGCCAGAGCATACAAGGAAATCAGTGCTGAGTCGTGTGAGCTCAGGCAGAAGGACGGAGAAAAATATTGAAAATTGAACATTTATAACAATCTGAAGCCTGAGGTTCGCTTTGGCAAACAGGGTTTAACTGCGCATGAGGTGAGAACATTATTTTTTTTAAAAACAAAAACCCAAACCTTTGACCAGATCTCACGTGTGCAACCAGCACACGTGTAGCATGACTTGCCAATAAACTACTGGTAATGTCATAAAACCTGTTGGCTTGTGTTAAATCATAACAGCTGACTGGTGTCAAACCTTTTACAGCTTTCTCAACAAGAAACAATGAAACGCATACTCACTGCAGTTTTCTATCATCAAATTGAAAAGGGACATTTTCTCGCCATCGGACAAGCAAGACAACATTTGGTTATCCAGGTCACCGCGTTCTTGCCACTGCTTCAGCCAGTAGAGCTCACATGAGCAAATGAGAGGGTTGTCTCTCAAAACGCTGAAAAGAGAAACCAACAAACAATGACTTGAAATTATTAGACATGAATCAAAAACACGTTCAGTCCTCATGCAAACAGTTTTAACTCACTGTTATATACAAATACCCTCCAAGTGTTTCATTTGAAAGCTTCTAATACAAGTGCATGACAAGGAATGTATAAAATAATTGATATAAATCCTTGAAGAATTATCTTTAATTAGAAAATAACCGTACAGACAAGCTTCTATACTTTCAGGAACCTTACAAACTACATGCTGAAAGAGGACAATCAACTCAGAAAAGAAGCAGTTAACTTTACAATATCTAAATATGTTCACCTCTGAATTGAATCAACAATTAAGGACGTGTAGTTATAGATGTAGCACAAAGACTGTTTCCCAGGTTAGTTTAGTTTCATGCTGAATAACACCTCTGTCCTTGGGCTAGAAAAAGCTAACAGCAAAAGTATAACTGACCAAAGTTCTCATCAGAAACAGAAACAGCAGGAACAGCACTGGGCCATGAGGTCACTGTGGCTGCAGAACAGTTGCTTACCCAAGTTTTACCTTTGAAAATTATTACATTTTTATTACCACGCTAGCTAACACAAATTTAAAATGGTTTAGATGACAGAGAGTATTCTTACTCCAAATTCTAAATAGACTCACAGGTTAAGCAGAGGCAGAAAATGAAACACCTTCCAGCTGATGTGCTCCAGAGAGTTTGATGCCAAGTTTCTGTCAAACAAAAAGAGAAGACAGGTGACATTGTGAACACTTCTTAATTCTCCTTTGTTGCATTTTCCATTGATATGCAGCCATTATATCATTTAACCTTAAGCTTTTACATGTGACACCTTTGCTGTGTCTGGATTTTACCTTTCCAGCAGCACAGACAGACAATAGTTGTCTTATTGTGCTGTCTGTTCAAATGTTGCTTTGTGAAGGAGCGCGGTTCCAAAAACAAACCAAAACAAAGCTATTACGAGTCGAAATAAAGGAAAGATTCGAGTAAATATGTTATTTTTCTTTGTAGTAATCTGGTCCTGTTCTGCAGTTGAGTCACGCTGTGATTTGATTGCTCGCTTTCAGAACAATGTGTACCTGCCTTGAATTACACTCAGTGGAAAACGTTAATGCATCCAAATGGGTCCTGATCAATTACCTTGGCACGTATTTCACACCAGCCGAGAAGCCACATTCACAAGCACCCCCGGCACATCTCTCAGTGTTTGCTTAGAGTTCAGTACATTAGGTGATTAGTTCAGTTCGCAAACACTTCTGGGGCGAGGGACAGGGCCCAGCAGTAATTCTTTGGAGTCAAATACGCTAAAGAAATACATATCGAGAAAAAAAGTTTCACATGTATCGAAGAAATGTCTGAAAAATGTCTATGAAAACCGCCGAGACATCTGGGTTTTTACTGGCCAAACGGCTGTAGCAAAGGCAGCGAATGAGTCAATGAGAATGAGTCACAGACTCTTTCTTTATCTTAACTTGTATGTCTCACGTCTCTTAAACATCTGGATGAACTGCTGCTAAATTTGGAGCAGACATTTATGCTCCTTTAAATGTCATCAATTCTGCGTTTCTGATCATTTAGAAGGTCAACTGTGTTTTGAGAAAGTTTTAATAGGTTACAATTTGTTTTAAACAAACACAAAATTACTTGCATCCCTACCAGCCTTAGCTGTAACAGTGAACATGCTAATATTGTTAACATGCTAAATTAAGATGATTAAGAAAATAAAGATTACAATGACATAATCTCTCTTTTTAAATGGGACATATTTTGCTCTGATCCTTCCTTTTTTTCATCCAGTGCAGCCTTTCCATTCGACAGCTGTCTTTAACAAGCCTGTCCTATTCCCTTGGGGCTATCCTCCCTTTAAGCTAACTTTCTGACTGGCTGCACCCCTGCTGTGTGGCTGAGATTTCTATATTTAGAATATCTGCTCTTACTGACATCAGACGGAGCCAAGAACAAACACAACAGTGTCAAATCAAGCATTCAGAGCAGTCTAAAGCCTTATGTGTACATGTGTTTGATGTAAAATAAAAGTATAAGAAGGCCAATTTAACTTCAGTACATCAGCAATATCATCATGAACATCTTTGCATGGGGCACACATCATTGTGCCTCACGCCGCGGAGACATCACATTGGTGTTAGCTGTCTACAGCATCATCAATATCTACTATTACCACTACAATTTAGCTCAAATTTCAATACGCCAGACCTCAAATGTAGGAACGGGAGTCTTTTTCATTTTACCTACCAACCCAAACACACTCCTTATTCTGTTTCCTCGTTAAGATTTCAAAACATTTCAAATATGGTGATGAATCAAATCATACCGTATATGCCGACTTACAATAATAACACTGTAATCGAATGCTACATATCCTTTAGTCAATCCTCTCAGGCCACTTGAATATCACCACAAATGATCCTCAGACTTCCCAGGAATCAGCCTGTAAATAAACCTCCCTCTGAAGATGACAGAAAGCCACACTGGGGAGCGTCCAAATGGAAACCAATACATAATCACTCTGACAGGACCAAGGGTTCAATTATTTGTTTTCCTTGCCCCCAAAAGTTCATGTCAGATGGGTTAGCCATTGGGGCTTATCCATTACCAGACTCGATTCTTCCCCCGGTCCACAGGGGCAGAGCAGAGGCACGAACAGCAGCTCGTTTCTCTTTTTCTCTTTTTGCAATTTATATGAGCATTTTTTACAAAATGCATTTTTGCTGTTCGTACAACAATGAGAGCAGGAAGAGAGAAAAGAGGGGTTGGAGTCGACTGAGCTTCCCTGCTCAGTGCTTAGTTTGGCTGCAATCAGTCAGCCTTAATCTCAGAAACACATCTGTCACACAGAAAGCCCTACACTCCACCCAAACCCAGCCGCCCTCTCCCTCCACAGTGAAATATTGATTAAGTGATAATGGACCCTTAGTGGAGTGTATTTATTATGCATCAGTTGTCGATAATCCGCCAAAGTGAGCGAGTAAAAGGTGACTGGTGGATGTCTTCTCCAATTTCTTGAGCTCACCCTGCCTGCCTCACCACCACCACCACCACCACCCCTCCATCTATGGTCCTCGAAACCCGGCTGTCTTTCAGATAAACAACACTGGACATGTTGCACACGCTCAGTAAAATGATGAGGACAAGATGGTGGCGATAAGGGTCGCTGGCTGATGAATAGACAGATTTGATGGTTTCGGTCGATAAGGCTTCCTGGTATTATTTATTGCTGGGAATGGACCGTGAAGCTACAATGTTTGGAAAAATAAAGACTGAAAAAATAATTTCATGCAACACAATGTAGAGGCTGTAATTAACAATGAGGCTTCTTGCTAATTAGCTTTTTGGTGGTTATAACTGGATCAAATTTTATAATTGCAGATATTTTATCAGTAATAACTGACTTTAGGACTGCAGCTATGAACCATTTTCACTATTGATCCATGTAATATTCAATTTCTTGCTAATCAATGATCATAAATCCACATAATATGGAAAGCTGAAGCTATATATTAATTGTGTTTTGCACAGGCAGACAACTGAATTAAAAGTACCATATAATATAATCAGCCATGAAAGTATAAACTAATATGTATTTAATAAAATGCAAAAAAAAAAGTCATTCATGGTTTAATGTGCATCCAAAATGATTTTCCAGATTGGAGGACACAGCTGTCTGAATCTCATGTGACATGTGCAAAGAGCCGGCTGACTGACAGCGACAAACAGGATGACCGGCCCACAGGTCAAAACACGACACGGGGAACACAATCCTTCGGTATCAACAAGGACACTTACACATACTGAAGCTTGAGGTTGTTTTGGAAGGCGTAGGCAGAGATGAACCTCAGCTTGCAAAATGTGACCGTGCTGCAGAGGATGATAAAGCACAATGAACATGAAAAATCAAGAAGCAAAAAAACACTTGGAATATAATCAAGTTTTTCTTTGTTGGAAAGAAAACAACTTTAATCCTTGTCGTTTAATCATTTTGAACACAGTGTATCTGACTTTTAGTTCATCCTTTCATTCTTAACCATTTATTCAATTTAGAGTGGCATGGTGGTGCTGGAGCCGATCCCAACTATCATTTGTTGAGAGGTGGGGTAAACATTGGAGCAGCCCATCACATTCACGCCTGCAGCCAATTTAGAATCACCAGTTAAACTAGCAAACATGTCATGCATGCAACATCATAGTCCTTTGAGTATCAGGAGAGTACCCATGCAGGCATGCAAAAATCCTCATAGAGGTCTCAGTCAGCCAGCGGATTCAAACCTATGACCTTCTTGCTAACCACTGCATCACCACACAACCTCAACGTTTGTCTATTTCTGCACAAACTCAGAAGTAAGAAGATCATTTCACTTTCAGATACACAGTCTGGGAAGTATGCGAACATACTTTTGAGGCTGGAGCTTAATTTTGTTCCCAAAAATAAGCTTTGACTGTTTTATCCTAGCTTTGAGCTTTCTTTCTGTCTCGTAATAGAGTAAACACTAAATGGAGCAAATCCTGCAAACTAGTTCAGGCACATGCCTCACTTTCTTCAGGGGTAATAAACCAATCCTGCTTTTGTGAGTCTATTTAAACTAAAAATGTCCCATCTATCCCTCTGATATGTGAGTGTTGCTGCCCTTCATCACTCCCTTTTGGTTCAACCCCTCCTCTGCCTAAGCATCCACCTGTAGGCTTTGAGCAAGATAATCATATCTGCGGGAAGTAATGTGCTCAGAGCCTAGACTCCAGTCTACCTCTATTCTCCTGCTGTAGGAAAATCATTTCAAACATCAGTTTTCTGACTGAAGTATAGTGTGAGAATAGAAAACTTGACACACACAACAATGATAAGAGGACAGATCAGTCAGTTGTATAGGTTGACAAACTCAAAATAAGTTGAGAGAAAAGAATGACTTACAGGTTTTTCAGCTCTCTGTAGAAGATAAGGTCGACTTCTGTTATGTTCTCCAGGCTGGCTTGGTTTTCTATGTAACTAGTTAATAAAGAAAGGACAACAGAAAGTGATGGAGAGAGAGTTAGATGAAGGTATTGTGTTGTGACCTTCAGTCTTTTGTTATGTAGACATTCATATACTGTAAGCTCATACTGAATAGGAAATATGCAAAAGAAAAAAAGACTAATAAAAGGATTGATTGAACTTGATTCAGACCAGAAAAGAAGTCGTTTTCTTTGGGGGAATTCCAACAGTGGAAAGATGCAGGAATAACAGCAACAAGGAGAAATAACTACATTTAAAAAAAACAGGTGCTTTGTACTCAAACCCCCAAGAAACACGATGAAAAGACATAAAGTTTCTAAATTAAACAAAAAGAAGCTAAAGCAGGATTTATATTTCAGATTTGATTTAATCCTCTGATTGGTAACAATTATTTTATGCATAGTCAATATAAGATTGCAGCAACTGAACAATCAAAACAACAGTAACAAAAACATCACACGAAACATTGTCCAGAAATAAACCTGGAAGCCACTGAAGTCAGCATCATGACACTGAGGAAGAGGATCCCAGCCACCTTTGTAACTATGGCCTTTTGAAGAGCAATGGCAGCTACTTGATGTGACGTGAACAGCATCATGGAAACCAGTTTCATCCCAGTGGTTCTTCACTCGGGTCAGTATGTCAGACATGTATCAGATCTACCTCACATGAGAGTTATCTTAAACAGATATGAAAATATACTATCCGGTCAAAAGATTGGAAGTCACACATGAGCAAAAGCTAAAACACTTTTTCTGCACTCTTAGCAAACTGACCTGCAGTATGTCAACGTTATACAAATACCAGCTTCTTAGTTAAAAGGCAACAATTATACTTTAATGTTCTCTCATATGTATGCTGTTACAAAGATCAAACTAAATTTCAAGTGATGAGATCAGCTCATATCAACCAAAAGCTCAAACTTTCAGTGAGAGCAGATATTCTTAGTATGGTCACCTCAGGCGCGCACTCTGACTTTGAGCACAGAAAATAAAGTTGTCTTAATCGGAGTGGAAAGCGAGCTACAATAGGTTGTTTCAGATGTGCACAAAGGTCCAGTGTAATATAATTAAGGTTTTTTTTTAATGAAGGTTATATCAAAAAGCATCAGTAACAACAGTTTGGGACATGCAACCCTGGAACTTGAACACCCACAAAACAGACTAAGAGCAGATGACAAACCCTGGCAAGAAGTCCAGGGACGCACAAATGGCAAAGCCTAATAAAAGCGAATGTGCCACTCATGTGGGGGGAAAAATAATGCCCTAAGATGTGCCAGGCGAACGGGAAATTCTTCTCAATGAGTCACTTTCCACTTTTCCAGACAGAGCCTACCTCAGAATAACTAGTGAGCCGCAGATCGATGTAGCACTCAATGGAAGGACAGCCAGCTCTTTTCAGGAGATATCTGAATAGATGGCCCGTTTAGACCTTCCAAGGATCTCACTGGAGATCTGTCCACCTCATTCTGTGCCCTTCTCCAACTCTCCAGTCCCTGCTAGGTTCCATATAAATGTTGCTCATTTTGCTCAGGAGGACACTTACTTAATGGGCTTTTAAAAAGATGTGTAGATACAAAAATTGAAGGATTTTATTTATGTGAGTGTTTTTAGCCCTTTGTTAAGATAAGATAAGATAAGATAAGATAAGATAAGATAAGATAAGATAAGATAAGATAAGATAAGATAAGATAGAACTTTATTAATCCCTCGGGTGGGTTCCTCTGGGAAATTCGACTTCCAAAAAAAGCACAGCAACGACCGAAGTTACAGTTACAGAACTGTTATATATATATACACACACACACACACACACACACACACACACACACACACACACACACACACACACACACACACACACACACACACATATATAAATACAGAGACAAATATAAATAAAATATACAAAGGGGATAAATAGAATAAATAGGAATAAAAAATAAAAATACAAGTGAATTGCACATTTCAAGTATTGAGTCTATTGCACTGTTGACTATTTACAAAAAGTATTGCACAAGGTATTGTACAGTGAGGTGAAGAGGCACTACAGCTTAGTTGTTCCCCCCTCCTTTGTCCTCCTGTTTCCCCTCCCTCTCCCCTCCAGAGAGGAGTTAAACAGTCTGATGGCGTGTGGGACAAAGGAGTTTTTAAGTCTGTTAGTTCTTGTCTTTGGGAGAAGCAACCTGTCACTGAACAGACTCTTCTGATTGTTTATGGCCGTGTGCAGAGGATGCCCAGCATTGTCCATAATGTCCATCAGTTTCTTTAATGTCCTTTTCTCTGCCACTGTCACCAGAGTGTCCAGCTTCATGCCGACCACAGAGCTAGCCTTCCTGATCAGTTTCTCCAGCCTGCATGAGTCCCTCTTTGCTGTGCTCCCCCAGCACACCACAGCATAGAAAAGTACTCCAGCAACCACTGACTGGTAAAACATCCTCAGGAGCTTCCTGCAGATGTTAAAAGACCTCAGCCTCCTGAGGAAGTACAGTCGGCTTTGGGCTTTTTTATACAGGTGCTCTGTGTTGCATGACCAGTCCAGTTTATTGTCCACCCACAGCCCGAGGTACTTGTACTTGTTGACCACCTCCACCTCCTCCCCCTCTATCTGAACTGGCAGTGGACCTTCTCTGGACCTCCCGAAGTCCACAACCAGTTCCTTAGTCTTTGAGGTGTTGAGTTGCAGGTGGTTTGTGTGACTCCATGCGACAAAGTTCCTCACCAGACTTCTGTACTCCTCTTCCTGATCATCCCAGATACACCCCATGATGGCTGTGTCATCTGCAAACTTCTGAATGTGGCATAATTCAGAGTTGTAGCAGAAGTCAGAGGTGTTGAATGCATTATAGTATCCTTCAGAAAGTGTAAAATGAACCAAATGGCCAGAATCAATAGAAAATATAAAAATAATGCCCTTTTCTGGAGACTGCCTTGAGGCAAGCACAATAGAGAAGAATATGAAACATAGAAAGGGAATGTTTAAACAACCACAAGTTTTTTGTTACAAATAATAAGAAAGATTTAAAGATGGGTTCTCTGCAGTATTAACGCACTTCTATCGTACATAGATGAAACAATATGCAGAAATGTAAAAAACAAACTGTCACTATGAAAAATAACAGTAACAGAATACTGAGAGCAATAACACCAGTAAACAACATTGCTTTTGCAAAACTCGCCTCACCTCTGCATTTCGAAGTTTCAATTTTAGCATTTTGGCACCCGCCATGTTGGTTATTCAAAGCCAGAGGTTTACTTTAGGCACCAGTCACACCAGCATGGAAGCCAGTCAGTGACCAACTGGCTACCACCGGTCTCGAGGAAAAATGTGCATTCTTCAACGACTTGCGAGTTGTTGCTGGCGTTGATGCTTTTTAATGCTGAGCTCTAAGGGAACTGACTTGCTTTTGACAACTTGAATAACTGCTGTTTTTGCCACTTGTGCATTGGATCCATTTTTCACCCCATGGTTCCTGTTGAGGCTATAATTGGTTTAGTTGGTCTGATGAGCACATAGTCAAGATATGATTACTGTGCTGAACACTCCATTGAAGACAATACCAGCTGACCGCTTCTTCTCTAAATAGCTCTTGCATAGTTTGGAGCTGTGCTTTGTGCCACTGTCCTGTTGGCTCAAACCAATTAACATCCATAAGATATTGCACGGTCTTGTACAATGAAGTGATTTATCCTGTACAAATCTCCCACTTTACCACCACCAACACCCCCCAAAATATCATGTTCTGTGTCATTAGTGGGAACATCTTTAAACATTAGAATCTGTCCATAACACCCTTCCCCATCATCATCATCTGCCCACTGCCTGTGTTTTTTGCCCATTTCTATCTGTTCTCTTTAGTCTTTAATCTCACATGTACCTTTTTCTGCCTAGAAGCCAATATCCTGGAGTTGGCCCTTCACTGTTGAGACTGATGTTTTGAGAGTAATGAAGCTGCCAGTTGAAGACCTGTGAGGCATCTGTTTCTCAGACTCTGATGTGCTCTTGCTCAGCGGTGCACTGTGGCCTCTTACTTCTCTTTCTATTCTGTTTAGAGCCGGTTTGCCCTGCTCTCTGATGGGAGTAGTACACACTGTTTTATGAAATCTTCCATTTTCGGGGGCAATTTTCCACATGGAATAGCCTTCATTTCTTAGACCAGGAATACTCTGACAAATTTCAAAAGAAAGTAATTTCTCATAAAACCCACAAAAAGCTCCAGAGGCTCGACTAGCCAAACTGCTTCCTTAATCAGCACAGGACTTTTAGGCTGTGCTAACACAACCAGAAAATGTTTTCTTTCAGTGATCAATTAGTATTTTGATACGATGAAGTTGCATTAGATAAACCTGTTGTATATCTAAATAGAAAATAAATATCTATGATCACTAGTTGGATTAATGACAGTCAGTTATGGCCTTTCTGATCAAACATTTGAGTGGTTATGTACCTATGAAACAATGCCACTGAATGATAATCAAATATCTTAACCCCTTAATGCCTAGTGTGCCATATTTGATAAGTTTTAGTGAGTTTTTGAATTCTAAATCATCAGTGTGATCTTTTTTTTCTCCAACACATTTTAGGCAATAAAAAAGCAATACTTACAAAGAATAAAAACACTGAAAATATCATGTTTTCAAAATAAAATATTTTTCACTGAGGTAAAAGAGTATTTTTGATTAATGCAATTACTAAAAACATTCAGCAATGATTACGTAGCTGCAAATTATTCAGAAGAGTTCAGCTGTTGAAATTTCAATCCAAGCCGCTAAAAAAAAGATTCACAAATACAACCTTTACCTAAAATGGGAAACGATATTTTGAGAAAAGCTTCGTGCTAACTAACAAACCATTTTCCTCCAACAAAACCTGTGACATGAGCTGAAAGGGCTATGTGAGGACGTGTAGAACGACCCTGAAGGTGAGATCCTACATATGATTCAAAAGCTGATGAATGCTGTTTGCTTGAAGGGGACCTATAATGCTTTTCTTTACTTTCTGTCATGCATCCTTGTGATGGATGCTCACGCTGACGATAGCCAAAGTTTAAGCTAAGAGGACAGATTATCTACAAGCAATCCCTGAGAGCAAGGATATCGGATATCACTGCTCTAAACATCAAACAACATTTACATTTTTGCTTAATTAACTTTTCTGCTGAAATGACATTAACTGTGACATAGACCAGCAGTCCCCAACCCCCGGGCCATGGACTGGTACTGGTCCGTGAGTCGTTCGGTACCGGGCTGTGAGAGTTGGGGCTTGGGTGTGAAATTTGTGGTTTTCAGGGTTTTTATCGTTAACTCGGTTTCCCTGGGTCTTTTCCCGTGTTGTAGTTGTTTTTGTTATTTTGAAAAAAATATCTAGGCATTACCATAGCAACCAGAGAGCATTAAGGGGCAGAGAGGAGGATGTTACTCTCAACGTTGTTGGTGCATCTCAGGAGGACGCTGCTAATAAAGTTACACAATTACACTGTGAATTCTCATTTATTATTATATTTTAAAAATACCACAGGTTTTGTCTTGGTCATATCATTTTATTTTGTTGTATTTATCTGCGACACCTAAAGGCCGGTCTGTGAAAATATTGTCTAACATTGAACTGGTCCGTGGCGAATAAAAGGGGACTGCTGCCATAGACGGTATATAAAAGATGGATGTAGGCACGGGGGTTTCTAGACTCCACAATTTGGTTTCTGCTCCACTCCAGTTTTCTTAATAAAGGTTTGATGTTGAATTTATTTGTTGGGGTTGGATTAGCTTCTCTGTTGGAAAAATTAAAGTGCCTTAAATGTGCATTTTATCTGAAACGACAATAAAACTTTGGTCCAATAAAAGTCTGACTTCACACCGGTAAACACTTTCCTGATAAGTTTTTTGGCCCAGTCACTCATTTCCGGTCACTCTAAATAAAACATAGAAGTCTACTTAGTAAATCTTGGTGATACTATGTTTCTTTTTTTTTTTTTTTTTTTTTTTTTTTTTTTAAATGTCTGTCTGTGTCTGTGTCTATATGTCAGGTTGGGTATCAGACGCCACCTCTCTGGGGACACCTCAGGCCCTCCAAGGTTTGGAGGCCTATCTCCACCCACCACCACTTCCCCTGCCGGTGGCGGACTCCCTCAGGTGTCGGTGTGTTGGTGGTTCTTTGTGTCTGGGGGTGGGCGTCCGGGTACACACCGGCTCACTCCTTGGCGGCCGCTTGTCGGGGCCTGGGGCCTGGGGCTCGCTCGGGCCCCTTTGGAGGTGGGGTGCCCCCGGCCTCTCGGCCTGGGGCTCGGTCACTCAGGCACAGCTGGGGGCCGGCGGAGCTCACGGGCGCGTCACTGCAACTCCCCCTGACTTCTGCTCCGCGGCTGCTGGGCGAGCCCTCATCTGGGACTCTCCTCAGCTCTTACTGGAACAGTGGCGCGGCTGCCCCTCTGTTGGTCTTCCTTGGTCTCTTGTGTTCTGGGGGCCTCTGGATGTCTGGAGTTCTGATCTCCTCCATACCCACTTCACACCCTGGAGGACGGGGCTGTGGCCCCCCCACACTCCCTAGCAGATCATTACATGGAGAAACCTTTGGAATGCAAGCATGCTGATCCACACAGGTATGCACACATGGGTATTCACAGACGCGGACTAAAGCTTTCTTGGCTGCTGCCTCAAAGCACACTGTGCGCTGTCTATCTTGCGTGCTGCACAATATCGTTTATTATTTAGTAAATATTGATATCTATGACTAGCTAGTTTATTGTGATGGTGCTTTGTTTTCTCTATTATTATGTTGCTCTTTGTTGTTTGCTGTCTCCTCTGTTTTTTTTTTTGTTTGTTTGTTTTTTTTTTTTCTCCATACAGGTGACCCAGGAGTTCTTTTTTTTTTTTTCTCTCTCTTCCCCCCCCTTCTCACCGTCTCTTCTCCTCTTTGGTTTTCTTTCTTTCTCTCCCCCTCTTTCTCTCATTCATTCCCCCTGTCCTATTTATTAAAAAAAAAAAAAAAATGACAAAGGATGAACTGAAGCTCTGCCATCACGTAATGTCGCATACTGCTGTTTCTGATGTCATTTAAAAATAAAAAAAAAGGTGATACTATGTTTCAAAATGAAAGGAAATGCTCATCTCCAGGCTTCATAATGGGATGCCAGAAACCAATAGGTGACGTCACAGTAACTACAGTCACCTTTTGATAACCCTGGACGGGTCACCAGCCTTCCCTAACTGTCAAATCCACAGAAAAAGTCAATCTAGAATCACCAGCTAACCTAACATGCATCGATGGATTGTGGGAAGAAACAGGAGAACCCGAAAAGACCCACAAAGGCAAAAGATGAGCATGCAAACACCAAATAGAAAGGTCAGCTCTCGATAATTTATGGTTATGCTACAGCTTATGATTCACAGATTTGAAAAATGTGTCATTTTGTAGCAAAAGTGGAGGTTATGCAATCAAAAAATGAATAAGAAAGAAAGAAAGAGAAGACTGGACCTATGCCATAAACATACCTGTGCTAATTTCTAATTAATGATGGTCACTTTCAGCGTGTGCTGTTGTTTCAACTTCCCAGTTCGCTGTATGTCAGCTGCAACACACAAACCTTTTTATTCATGTCTGATTGACCCACACAGCAATAATATGATTACAGGGCAGGTGGGCCCAGGATCACCCATCGCCCTTACTTATTGGATTGAGCCAAGTGGGTTGTATATCATCTATTGTTCCCGGGTGGGGGCACTGACTGGCAATTCACAAAATTGAATTTATAACTCAGCTTATGATGAATTTCAGCCTGTGTTCCACAGTTAATGGCCCCTTGTTTGTTCCACATATCGGCTGTATTCCCTTGCACCGCCAATACAGAGAAGTGTTGTTGTTTGCTGCCATGTAGAGCACCACGCTAAACAGAAGCCCACTCGCTTATTGATTTCAGAGAGAATGTCAAGCCTCAACCTGAGCCCTACCAAGCATGTTCAGCTGCAGATACGAGGAAACACCTGGTGTGATAGAGGGGCTATAGTACAGTGGAAAAAAGAAGTGCAGTATAGGTGAATAGAAGTAGAAAGTGGCAGTGGATTGACTTTCTCCAACGAAATAGCATTTCAGAAGTTTAGTTCCTTAACAGGTGCTAATTGCTCAGATCTGGGAACTGGAACAAAGAGAGAACAGCGTGGCGGTGCGGAGAGTGACATTTAGTTTTCCATGTTGGAGCTGATGGCGGGTTGCATAATAATACAGCAGCTTTCTTTGAATCACAGGTGGTCAGTTTTCTACTTCTTTTTCAGTGCAAAGTTTTAAAAAGCCAATTTTAAATAACAGTCATCTGCTGCAGACATGCTGTCGCAGACTGAGAAATCTCAATTCATCTCAGTTATTCATGAGTTTTGTTCAAGCACATTCCCCAGGGCCTGCCTGTCAATCAGCTGGGTGATTATTTTTTTTAAAGCGTGATGTCTGGTTGTGAAGAACTAACTAACCAAAAAATAAATAAATAAAAAATCAACAGATCAGCCATCTTCCATTTCATATTTTACCAACATACTGAAGCCCACTAAAGGAAGACGTACTCGGTCAGACCAACCTTAGCGGGTCAGACAATCATTCAAGAATGGAATTTATATTAGAGCCACAAAAATTAAGAAATACTTTCTACACATGGTTTGTATAGTCTAGTATGTGTTTTTAACTATGACACATCAAGTAAATATTTTTTCCACCTAAACTTTATAATGCACCTTTACAACTTCTTTTTCCTTCCCCTAAATATAACTAACAAGAAATCATCACATAGTTTATGTGATGCGATAAATTTGTATTATTCTGAAAACTTTGCACTCAAACCTGAGATATCATCAGCAAAAAGAGGTCAAACTTTGAAACTGCCAAAAGTAGAGCGAGGAGATCCACTGAAGATCTTGAGGGACACAGACACAGACTGGCTGGAAGACATCAGTTTCCATCACTCTGTGGCAGTTACTGTCAGCTCCAGATCCAATATTGATTGCCAATAGCCAAAGTGTCTAAATTACTGACATTCTAATGCATCTCAGATAGCAGAAGCTTTATTTTACCTCAAGAGGAACCTAAATTTGGCTAGCAATGACATCATTCTCTGGAGATGAGAAATTATGGAAGATGTTGTGAGGCACAACCAGACATCACCAGCGTTGTGACAGACCACTTTACCACAGTACAAGCTGTATCTGACTTTTTAATATGAAAATAATGAAAAACTAAAGTACATGTGCATTTGAACTTCAGAAACTTATAACGCATTAGCATTAAAAGAAGAATAAAGTCAATGTGTCTTACTGAACTCTGTCTATGGGCTACTTCTGCTTCCATCTCACGCATATGCACAACCTTAGCTATGACTGTAGAGCTAAACACCCAGAGCAGACATATAAACTCTCTTAAACTGAAAAAAGCCCACAAATTATTTACAAATGTGGCCCTAATGTGAGAATTCACATCAGATGTGAAGGCTTTGGAAAATTGCCCCATTAAAACCAAAACTCTGGCACTGAAACAAGTTTTAGTGACAACATAAGGTGAACACAAACTGAGAAAATCAAGCTTGGCTGACAACCAACATCAAGGCATGTGAGCACATCTGACACACTCATGCTCATTCAGAGGAACATGCAGAGCAGGTGCACATCGTACTCACATCTCTGTCACGTTCTCGCTCTCTTGCAAAGCAAGCGGCGGGATGCTGGTTATGCCATTGGGTTCCAGGCACTGCAGCATGGCAAAAGAGCACCGGCAAGCCGATGGGCATCCACCCAGGGTGGGAGTTGGTGCCGGGCTCAGCAGGATGAGCACCAGGGGCAGCAGAAGTGCCAGGGCCCGAGGTGCCATAGCCATCTCAAAAAAGGATTTCCTCAGCTCCACCAGTAGCCTTGGCAGTTGTAGTTAGAGTCAGTGTAATTCAGCTAATGCAGAGTGAATAAGAGTGTTGAAGAGCTTTCACACAATCCTCCTCTTGACTCTGGAAGGGTTGAGATCCCAGCTGGTCAGGGTCTGGTACTGAGCCACAGCTGTACTGAGCAGCAGGAGGGGCAGGCAGGCAAAGCAAGCAAAGGGGCCCTTGGGACATGGTAGTAGTGGGCTGCAGCCTCTTTTTCTCTCCTCCACGATGAAGGGAGGAGCAATATACCACGGGAGTCACCAGACACCTCAGAAAAGGGGGAGAGGGAGGGGTGGAGGTGAAGGGTGTGTGTTGATGATAATGAGCAGAGGAGATGGGGATATGGTCGGTGGTGAACTCATCTCCTACTCCTCCTCCTCCTCCCCCATTCCCGGGTGAGAAGTCTGCTGTCCCGCCAGCCAAGCCAAGAAGTCAGGGCTCTTGGGTGCTTGGATGTATACAGCAGCGGACTCACGCTCTCCCCACTGCAGCAACATCCGGCTGCAGTGATGGATCTCTATGCCCCGGGAGTGACAGCGCTCTGGGAGTGACTGTGTCCCAATTGCTGGCAGGTTCATGACTGTTGACACTTAGGAGGTCAGTGATGACTAAGTAGCTGTGGAGGCGCGTGTTCTATTTACAGTAAGCTGTTTTTCCAAAAACTCCCAACAGGATTCAATAATAGGAAGCAAAAGCAGAGGAATGTAGGTCTTTAGAGTTTGTTTTTCCATCAATGGATCATTTAAAGTGTCGTTAGCCCCACATCATTAGCTCACAGTCATTTTAAAAAAGTGACTTCTAGTTCATGTTGACAAATGAGTATCAACTTGATTTATATGGAGTCCATCTAAACTAGTAGCCACTGAACATTCTGCCAAATGTTATAGTACAGCCTTTATTAAGACATAACATCTGTTTAATCAGATGTTTCAAAAACTATTGCTCACTATAGACTTGAGAGTCCTTTTTCCCACAAATTGCATACAACCCAATAAAAAAATTAAATAAAATGCTACTTTCTATGAGTGGCATGATTATGTTGCATACAAGTCAGGAAAAAAAGGACTGTGCTGCCAAAGAAGCTGAAATAGAATATTAAGTAAAATAAAAGAATCCAATTAGAATTAAAGGAAGCTTATTATACAACAAAATAAGAAGCAGCCCTTATTAAACCAGGAAGGTTTAAACCAGTTTCACCTCATTAACAGCTATACTGAGAATAAACAAAGACAAGCCAATAATTCCTGAATTAATGAGAGCTTTAAAATATTCTATACACTAAATCGTAGAGCCTAGAGATCGATACGGGTGTAGGTGGGTTTGTGGATCATTCGTGTATCACAGTTATCAAAGCCTCTTGGTATCCCCATCTCCATGCTGGAAATGGATAACCCATTCTCTGCAATTCAGCCGGGGAGATGTCGTGGAGAACACGGAGAAACAAGGAGAAAATTTATAACCTACTGATAGAGGTATTTAACAACCCATTTGTGGACTCCAGACTCCCTGAATGAGTGTACAGAGCCAATATGTATAAGTATTATCCAAGATACTGGCTTTCAGGGGAGAGAAGGTTCTAACTTCAATAAAAGATGAGGTAAGATTAATTAGGGCTTGAATCCTATAACATAACAAAAGACGCCTACTCTATATCATTCATTATCTCAGCACCCATAAAAAGTTAGGTGCTGCTGTTTCCACTGAGGCTGAAAAAGTCAGTAGAACTGAATGGGAAGATATGTGTCTGCTATCTGCTCCCTTCAAAATAAAAAGAGGCACAGCTGATTAGGAGCCTTAGCATTGGCTAAATCCAGATATTCAAGAAATAACAGTGGGTAACAAACAATAACATTTTATTGTACGCCGATGACATTGTTCTGACATTAACAAATGATTCTCACTAATTAGCAGCGTTAACTGAATGTGTTGAAGAAATCAGGCTAATATGTAGGTAGAAAGTAATTTGGCAATAATTATCCTAAATAGTGGAAGAAATAATGAACCAGCCTGAATTCAGCCTTGCTGCTTGGTACCGTCGGGGTTTGTAGCATGAGCTGTTTGTAAATCTAAACATGACAACATTAGAACCACCAAAATATCGTAAAATAACGCATTCATTTTAAGATTCTGCTTCTCATTTTTAATTTTCTTCTGCACATCACCATTCCTTCCCTTCTGAGAGCCTCCTGCTCTGTTACTCCTATCATACCATCTGCTCGTCTGACCACCATGAGCTTTCAGCCGAGTAGCCCCTCATCCTTGGAACCTGAAAGAGCTCTCACACATTGTGAAAAACAACCATGTGATAACTTATGCATTATGGGCCTGGAGGAAACAAAAATATTTATAATATTCATCCTCTTTATCGTATAACAACACTGACAGATAATCTTGCAAAGTTTACACTTTGACAAAGAACTGGCATTGTTAGAATCTTTGACCTCTTTGAGAATGGGGAATTTAGGACATTTGACTCACTGGAAGCTCGATATAATATATCAAATATATTAAGACTTCTACAAATATTTATAGACCAGAACCTTTGTATACAAGAGGAACAACTCACTAGAAATTCCAGATGACTCACATCCGTTAGATACGATTTTTTCTTAAGTACAAGCAGCAGAAACACAAATTTTATTCTGACATGTTTTGCTTGAATCTGGATAAACTTTCATGACTAATGATGTCCTGGAGTATTATCACCAAATCTGTAATAGATAATGATGTGTGGGACAAATTTCTTTGAATACCTTGCAGAATTTCAATTTGCAGGTCTAAAGAATTACAATTTCATATTTTGCACCATATCTACGTACCGTAAACCACTCAATCAATCGGTTACAGATACTTCTGATTAATTGAGCTTTATTTATAGAGCTCCAAATCACAACAACCGTTGTCTCACAGTATTTTATAGTAAAGACTCTAATAGTATAAAACCCATTCCAACCTCTGCACCACCAAAAGCTGTCAAAGAACATCACTGACAACACCGTAGATCTGCATTATGTTACTTATTTCACAACCTCTGCTGTTTTTCTGCATAAACTGCAACATATTCAAACCATCTTCTACATGAAAGAGGTATGAGCTAAAAAGCAAAGTGAGACCATGCTGATAGGCGAGTTCACTGACGGTGTGATTTATCCTGCAGCTGCAAACATTAACCTGCTGCAGAGACCCGTTACTGTCCATCACTCATATATTCTTTAGATGAGTGCAGCCAATTTTCATCAGTGGGCCATGCACTGTGCCCCACCCCCATTTCTCTTGGTCACTCTGCACATGAGTAAGGTCAAAATGTCCTGACCACAGTTACTGGCCATAAGCTAAATAGCTATTTTTTGCTGCTGTCATCAGGATTATCTGGTGGCTTAATTGCACTTCCTTTTGCTTGGCCTTAGCTCAGCAAAAGCATTCATTTACACGATAAAGTGTCTGAAAGCTTAGACGTAGCAGATGAAGATGATACTGTAGCGTTCACAAGAACCAGACGGTTGGGGTCTCAGTTTGTCCGTTTATTCCACATAAGCCAGCGGGTTATTAACTCAGGGGGAAGCGCTCTCGAACTACACCTCTCTTCAGCCTGGCACACACACAGAACAACCAGGTCCCCCCACCCCTTCCTGTACACCACCCTCACTACTTCCTGCAGCCCAACCAAACATGAATCTTAAAGGAACAACAACAGTGTGCAGAGAAAACCAACATGTCACTGTCCAGTAACACTTAACCATCGTTACACTGCCCCCCCAGCAATAAGTTCCTCGTCCCCAAGGGAACGACACAGTCTCTGAGGCGGGGCGGTAGCCTACGTTCCCTCCTTGACCTCCTGAGCCCCTGAGGAGGACGCGGAGCTTCGGGGCTTTGGGGTGAAGAGTCCGAGGGGGGGGAACGCAGCCCCGGTCGGGGGCCCCTCTGAGCAGGGTCATGGACGCTCTGTACACGTCCCTCTGGAAAGGAGGGGAGGGACTGTCCTCTGTAGGGGGCCATCCGGTCTCTGTGCAGCGCTACTATCCTCCCCCTAGGAGGCAACTGCACCCTGTAAACAACCTCCCCCACTCGCTCTAGGACGCTGCAAGGCCCCACCCAGCTGCTATCCAGTTTAGGACACCGTCCCTTCTTCCTCTTTGGGCTGTAGACCCACACCAGCTCCCCAGCACGGAAGTGCCTCCCTTTAGTGGTGATGTCGTAATTCCTCTTTTGGCGCAGGCCTGCCTTCGCCAGCTGCTCTCGGGCGTAGGAATGTGCAGAATCCAGCCGGTCCTGCAGCTTCCTTGCGTAGTCCCGGCCCGGTGGTGCCTCTGGCGCGTCCGGGGGTTTCCCAAAAGCCAACTCTGCAGGAGTTCTCAGCTCTCTCCCTAACATGAGCAGGGCAGGCGTACATTGGGTGGAGTCCTGCACTGCCGACCTGTAGGCCATGAGGGTAAGGGGAAGATGGTAATCCCAGTCCCGTTGGTGTTCTGAGGTAAGGATGGCTAGCTGCTGGGCCAGCGTCCTGTTAAACCTTTCCACCAGCCCATCGCTTTGGGGGTGAAGTGGGGTGGTGCGGGTTTTCTTAGTCCCAAGGCGTTCACACATGGCAGCAAATACCTTGGACTCAAAGTTACGCCCCTGGTCACTGTGGAGGGTCTCTGCTGTTCCAAAGCGGCTGAACATCCCCTCCACTAATACATCAGCGACCGTCTCAGCCTCCTGATCTGGGATGGCGTATGCTTCCGGCCACTTGGTAAAATAGTCCATGGCCACAAGAACATAGCGGTTTCCTCTGTCTGTGCGAGGAAATGGGCCCATGACGTCCACAGCTACTCGCTCCATTGGGGCTCCTGCTGGTTGCTGCTGAAGCTGAGCCCTGGTCTTGTGGCCCTTTGTGTGAGGAACATGCATCACAGCTGCGGCAAAAGTCCTCCACATCCCTCCGCTGTTGACCCCAGTAATAGCCCTGGCGGAGGCG